GTATATCACGTTAAGATTTGAAGACATTTTTTCTATTAAAGGACATTAATCAGCAGATTTTTAATTGGTCAAATGTCATTGGGTCATAAAAAGTTATTAGAGTATGTTACCGCATCTTGTAACCCCCTTTAGTGCGATATGTGCGTGTTATGCAATGGTTTAGCGTGAAACGCAGGGGTCTGATAGAGAACAGCAGATTTATGACACTACGTTTGATGCGGGTCGGACTTACTTTTGGTGTTCACAAGGTGAAATATATTTCGATCTTAAACTAAACTAAACAAATTTTCTTTTTATCATATGCAAAGAAACGTTTTAAAAAGACATTAAACCTAATACTGAATGAAAAGCGCACCAAATAATAATACAACGTGAGGTCATTTACGACCTCACGTCATTAAGTTGGTACCCAGTTCTGTGCACGCTGGTATTTCACTGAAACAACGTAAGGGGCTTAAATTCAAAATAGTGAAATTATCAAAGTGGTAATTTCACTGTTTCAAACAGTGAAATTACCAGTTTTACATCACTGATAAATTTCTATAAACCACCGAAAAGCATGTTATAAAGAGAGAATATTTGTTAATTTCAGTGTAAGATCGGAATATATTTCATCGAGTGGGCACCAAAATGTATATTTCACGAGTGGCGCAGCCACGAGTAAAATATGAATTTTTGGTGTTCACGAGGTGAAATATATTTCGATCTTACATTAAACTAAACACATTTACTTTTATTATATTCAAATATTATCAAATTGATAATTTCACTTTTTGGAACAGTGAAATTATCAGTTTTTTATTGCACTGGTATATTTTTATGTGCCCGCGAAAAACATGTAATAAAATCATTTAACACAATACATTGTCAATGAGAAAAAAAAAACACAAACAAAAAAAAAACTTTACTAAATGAGAAAAAAATATCGAGCAGGCGTTTGTTTACTTTAAATCGATATACACCATTAACTTATAATACGTGTAACTACATTTGAAAAAAAAAATAAAAAATAAGGAGTTTGTCTATTGTAATAATTTGATCAGGGATACAACACAATACGCCCCTGTATGTATTTATAGCACGATATTAGGTATAAAACATGGCTAAAACATTAGCACAAACATTTGATAAATCTGCACGTGAAAGTCGTGTATAACGGAGGGAACCGTGTCAGGGATTTTTTTAGCTCAATCAGTGACTTAATCATTAATTACGAAATATGTATGGTGAAAAAGTAGCATAAAATGTTTGATGTTACAAAAACAACATTAATCTTCATAAACTACGGAGCCCCTAAAATGATATTTTCGACACTTTTCTTCCCGCATTTAATTCATAATTACGAAATATCAATTCGTTTTTACGACATAAGAATTCGTTTTTAAGAAATAATTTGTTTTTTTTAACGTTTTTAGGAAATATTAAATTAAATTCGTAATTACGTAATATTAATTCGATTTTAAGAAATATTAATTCGTTTTCATAAAACAATAGTTCGTTTTTACGAAATAATTATTCGTTTTTAAGAAATAAATATTTGTTTTTACGAAATAATAATTTGTTTTTACGCTTTACGAAATATCAATTCGTAATTACGAAATATTAATGCGTTTTTACGAAATCGTATTGAAGGTCGTCGGGACTTCACAAAAAAATGCTACTATCCTCACAATCAAAACAGGTCATTTACAAGCCACCAATTATAACGAATATATGGTTTTCAAGTTATTATATTTGAGTGAACATAATTTTTTGGAGTGCGAAGTCATTCTCATTCCAAAATATCCCTCAACAGATGGCAAAAATCAAAATGTTTTAATGTTTAAGACAATTAACCTTTTTGAACATTTCTTTAAACAAGAGGGTCATGATGGCCCTGAGGTCGCTCACCTGTATATAGGCCCCCGAAGATTGGCCAGTTCATAACCCCAGGGCTTTTATTTGAACAAACTTGGAATTAAGACACCCATTAGAATATGTTTCATGATGTTAAGATTTTTCTATACACAATTATAAGGAAAAACAATGACCTTCCCCCCCCCCGGCAGAGTTAATTTTAACCAAAGGCTTTTATTTGAACAAACTTGGTAGAAACCCATAAGAAGATGTTTCATGCTAAACATCTAAGCTCTACCTCATTGGGTTTTTTTAATAGAAGATTTTTTATTTTTTTACTATACACATATAGTTAAAAACAATGACACCCCTGGGGCGGGGCCAGTTTTGATCCCCAGGGCTTTTATTTGAACAAACTTTGTAGACACTTATTAGAAAATGTTTCATGCTTAATATCTAAACTCTAGCTATTTGGGTTTTTTCAAAGAAGAATTTTTGAGTTTTTGCTATACACACATAAGGAAATCAATGACCCCCTGGGCGGGGCCAATTTTGACCCCAGGGCTTTAATTTGAACAAACTTTGTAGACACTCACTAGAAGATGTTTCATACTTAATATCTAAACTCTAGCTATTTGGGATTTTTTCAAACAAGGTTTTTTTAAGTTTTTGCTATACACATATAAGAAAAATCCATGACCCCTGGGGCGGGGCCAATTTTGACCCCAGGGCTTTTATTTGAACAAATTTAGTAGACACCCATTAGAACATGTTTCATGCTAAATATCTTAGCTCTAGCTCTTTGAGTTCTTTAAAAGAAGATTTTTTAGATTTTTACTATATGCATATAGGGAAAATCAATGACCCCCCTGGTGCGGGGCCAATTTTGACCTCAGGGCTTTTATTTGAACAAACATGGTAGACACTTAGTAGAAGATGTTTCATGCTAAATATCTTAGCTCTATCTCTTTGGGTTTTTTAAAAGAAGATTTTTTTATGTTTTTACTATATGCATATAGGGAAATCAATGACCCCCTGGGGAGGGGGCAAATTTTGACCCAAGGGCTTTTATTTGAACAAACTTGGTAGACACTCATTAGAAGATGTTTCATGCCAAATATCTAAGCTGTAGCTCCTTGGGTTTTTTAAAAGAAGATATTTAAAGTTTTTTCTTTCGGTTGCCAAGGCAACCAGAGTTCTGCATGGAATTAAATTCTTTGACCATTTTTTAAAGGTGACCACCAAAGGAACATTCCTGTGAAGTTTGGATGAAATTTGCTTAGTGGTTTATGAGATGTCACTTGAAGCAAAAGTTTACGGACGGACGACGGACGGACGCCGGACGAACAGCGATCACAAAAGCTCAGCCTGTCACTTTGTGACAGGTGAGCTAAAAAGAAACAGGCTAGATTGTTGCTTTCTTTTATCACACACATTAGTAAAACTTAAAGGGGCTGGCATCCAGAATTTTACAAAGAGTATATTTCCTTACAATTTATGTATGGGCACCGTGCGATCATAAAAGCAAAACATTTTTTCAAAACTTCATAAAATCGACAAAACGAAACAGACAAAAAATATCCGTGTCTGGATTTGAAGCACAGGACCCCAATTTAAAAAAAAAATACTAGAACCTGTACTATCACGGCTATCGCGGCAACTTAATCAACAGGCTATTATTTTAATTTATATACAGTACTGTTATACCGTCGCGTTAAAGTGTAAAACATGCGGAGAAACAAAACTATTAATACTATGCTTACATGCCTTATATTATGTCAGGAACTTAGTTTCAAAGCCTTCTATATAAATAATTCCAAACCATTTAAAACCCTATAAAAATATTTCGTTTGCACAAAAAAATAGTTCCTATTAACGAATTTATAGTTCGTTGATACGAATTAATACTTTGTAATTACGAAATAATCTTTCGTAAAATAACAAAAAAAAACATTTCGTAAAAAACGAAATAATATTTTGAAAAAACGAAATATTTCGTAAAACGAATTGATATTTTATAAAAACGAATTAATATTTTGTAATTAAAAATAAATATTTCGTAAAAACGAATGGATATTTCGTTAAAACAAATTAATATTTCGTAATAAAGAATAACTCTATTCGTAATTACGATATATGTATCGGGAAAATATGTGGAAAATGTCACGCTCCGTAATAAACACATGACAATTGAATTTCAATGGAATAAATACCGTAGATGTTGGTCTTCCTGAGTTTTCAAATGAAACAGCACGTGGTCCACCTTGGTTCATTCTTCGCACTGATTTGGCAACATATTTTAGTTTTTTGCCAAGATGACGGCCCACTGTTCCTAAAACGATATGATCACATCAATGTGCGGATTAATATTTTCGTTAAAAGTTCTAAGTTATCTTGATATTTATTTTGACATAGTAAAAACATGGCATATCTGAGCTTTAAAATGATTTTCAAGCCATGATTTTATAATATTTATAATTGAGCATTTTGAACTAAACTTTATTTCAAACAATGTTTAGAATTGTGAATGTATCATGGATATTGGGAATGTTTATTAGTCAAACTGATTACAATTGAACATACAGAACAAAATAGATTAGACTAGAATGAAACAATACGCGGTGCATTCTCTTAAACATACACAAATTGTCTTGCAATTAATTACAAAACATTACCGGATAATGTATCGCTTTTTGTGAAACGAAACCAATCAGTTATCACGTTGCCAATCCATAATATTATACAAAAAACAACAGAACAAAATCATGTTTTCTACCGTGTGATTCTATTTGGTCATAGATCTCCTCATCCTCATCTCTCTCTTCAATCAGAGGTTGTCTTCTGTCTGCAGAACTACTGCAATGGGAGACATAGAGGATATTGAATGAGTTTAGGTTGAGTATTGAATTTATCGAACGTGTATTTTATTCAACAAAATCAATAAATTTAGCTTTAAACATACACGGAAATAACGTGTAATGCTAGCATTTCTTTACACTCAGTATGTTAGTATAACGCAAATTACGTCACGTCAAACTATATGCACGACCGTACAATACCATTATTATGGATCAAAATGGAACGAGTATGTGATGAAGTATTTTATTTCATATTTTAGTGGATGGTGAAACCATATTAAATAATTTCAAAGTTATTGAATATTATTTTCACAGCAGCTTGACTATTTGGATGCCAAATACCAGTATGTGTAAATACGTATCTTTACTTGATTTCGAAAAACACATGGACATTTGAACTTACTATGTCCAAAATGTAACAAAATAAATGAAATTTTACAGAATTATTTTTCAACAATAACAATGTGTTGTTATGATTTTATGAAGGCATGCATTAGAGTTCGTGTCAATAGCGGCAAATAAAATGTGAAAATATCTTTAAAATCGTTTAAAAGCATGAAATAAATAGTTAATTTCTTTGTTTTGTATGTAAGATCAAATAATATTCACCCGTGAACACAGGCTTTTATATATTTTTATATTTAGCTAAGCCACATAAAATTATATCTGGTGTTCTGTCAGTGAAATATATATTGGTCTTACGTGCAAAACAAACAGATATAAACTATGTCAAATGTTTTTATTACTGCAGAACATTAGTATGATTTTGTAAATTAACGTTAAATTCTTTATGAATATTTGTTATAATACAAAAAGGACGCTCAAATAACCGATATTTCCTTCAAATCATACATTTAAATTTAATGGCTTCCAAATGAAACTTGTAAAGCAAAACAGGTAATAAGTTACTCATGAAAATATCTCCTAGTTGAAGGATTTATATCCTGTAATCGAGATGCAAGCTCTGACCGCCCTGCTCCTAGGTTTAACCTCCTTCGCTTTACTGGTGGGAGTGGTCTGTCTATATATTTATCCTTCGCCCTACGCGCCTCATGTTGCATTTCCAATCTCAATTGATCAGTTTTTGGAGCGTTTGCATGCTTCCTCATAGTTGCCTGGATACCATCTGTTATAATTCTGGCGGTTTGTGATAAAGCTTGTCTTGATCTTCCAAATTCGGTCATTGTCTCATCCAGACGCCTTGAAGTTGCACTTAAACCATTTTTTGTTACAGTCAATTGATACCTGTATTCAAAAGGAATGAATAATTATTTAATAATTGTAACATTTAAACGAATATCTTTTTAAGCTATACTATGTCACGCTTTTTTCCAAAGGAAATCGTTACATTAATATGATAGTATGCCAGATCGATCAATTTATAGTAATGTAAGGTGACCATATCTTGAATAGCCAAATATTGCTATGATCAACTGGTAAAAAGAAAAGAAAATGTGTTAAAAGATCAAAACGTAAATAAAATAAAATAATAATCACTCATTTATTCACTTATTTATCATTAAAGGGATACTCAGGCAAATTATTGACAAAAATATCAAAATGAATTTATGTACTAAAATCACGCTGGAATGACATTTTTTTAAATGTCCCAGCATGAATTTCTGTATAAATTCTATATAGTTTGGGTTTGAAGCGTAAATATATCTATATGTTTAGAACGAAATTTAAACACCGACAGAATCACTGAGTAGTTTTAAAACAAGTTATGTGACTTGAACAAACATTGGGAGTTACAATAACAGACATTGTGGATATTGTATGATCAAAACAAGCTAAAGCCATTCATTTGACATGTTTTTGAACGTTTCCAGAGCTCACTTTCACAGTTATTGTGAAATTTTAACGCTCTTACCTGACCCATGCGGGTCAAGTTAGGAAACTGCCACTTTATTTGTTATAAGGAGAACAGTTTTGTTCCTGTGACTGCCTAGTGTATTCAATTTGAGGACATTAACATAATAATGAATGAAAAATTAAAGACAAAGAAATTATATTTTTGCCTGTATCTCCCTGAATAATGTATATCATAATCAATTCTGTAAATTAATAAGAAGGCGCTAGAATGGAATAATTGTGTTTATCAAATAGTTTGTTCTCAAATGAATGGTTGTTCAAAAAGCAACAACATGAAAACACTTGAAAGCAGGATATATTTTTTAAAATTAAATATTTTTTAAAAAGTATTTTAACCTTGACCCTGTTTTCTGTAAAGCCTGCAGTTTGGTCTCTATTTCTTTTTCAAACTCCTCGTCGTTCTCACTGTCATCAGAATAATCTGGCAGGGGTTCTGCAATCATTGTATCTATAATTCCTCTTGCTCCTTTTGAATCAACATCCTTTTTTACTTCATTTAAAGATTGTTTAGCTTTGAAACCAACCTTTTCCAGAACAAAAAACAAAATATGTCAATATTTCTCTACCTGCAAAGTAAATCATATGCAGTATATATCCGCACATTTATTTATGTTACCCATACGTGCGCACCCCCCCCCCCCCAACACACACACACATACACTTTCTTCAAATCTGTTGGGAAGGTTTATTAACAAAGTAATTTTACTCTCTTCTAAAGCTTACAGGAATAATTTGTGCCCGATACAACAACAATAAATACGTCAATTGAGTATAAAAAGGATATTAAAAGAATCACCTGAGGAAGAGGGTTTTTCAGTTTTGTTACGGATACAAGATGTTGGAACGTTCCCCACCTATGTATTATCATACCGATAAATTGAAGCAACAGAATAGCTAAGTAAAAAATGATGAAGAGTAATCCCAATAAATCAACTTCAATGGCATTATTAGTTGATGCACTTCCATCGGTATCTTCTTGGTTTTCCTCCAGATAGTCAGGACTATCAGGATTGTCAGACGATCCCTGAAAAACAATTGTTTAAGAAGAAATGTCCATCTTATAATTATTTAAACAAAAAATAACGCATAAACATAATGAAATATAATGAAATAATTATATAAGACGAATTGAAAAAAGTCATTAAAATAATTTCGATTTATTTTAAGAAGTAAATATATACCTTACGATTTTACACATAGTCTGAGTAAAGTTTAAACAAACTTCTATAACAATGCTTTCAGATATACTAAAATATTATTAAAAGTTTCGCAAGATTCAATGCACAAGTGTATATGTTCTTACAGAAAACTTCAACGATATGGTTGTCGGCCTTTCAAACTGAAACATGAAGTTGATGGCAATCCATAGTAAATTTATCATCGCCATACCAAGTGCAATATTGTTCCGTAAGTCTATCAAACTCTTTGCAGTGTTCTTTATCTCTTCCACCTCAGGGTTTAGAGGTTTCAGATATCTTTAATAAGAATAAATGTTTCCAAAAACAAATCATTTAATGTAAGAGAAATTTAGTAAGTCATGTAGTAATACAAAACTGTATTTTCTCTCTGCATTTAGTAAAAGTAATAAACAGAGTTTTTTTGCTAATGAGTTTTCGAGTTGGCGTGAATAAATTAGGAAAATAAGATAAGAAACAAGAGGGGAATGATGGCCATAAATTGCTCACCAGAAACAACTGTTTTTCAGTGGTAGAAAAACATTTTCAAATGGGCTCAACTTCAACTTTTCTTCTAGTTATAAAGTTTCACTACACTGTTTTTGTTTTTCATAATAAAAAAATAACCTTTCACAAAAGGCTCAAGTTCCAAGTTCATTGTTTCTTTACATCTGGCAAGTAAAGCATGTCAACCCACGCTTTCTTATTTCTTTTTCATACTTAAACCTTTTTATAAAAGACTACGTAGGAATGGTATAAACAAAGTTGTTTGATGATCATACATCCATTAATAAGTACAGTGTTTAAAGTAAAATTAGTAAAATTAATATGTGCAAATTTGACAAAAGGCTACCTAGGAAAGCTACAGATAAAGTTTGATAATCATCCATCAATTAGTTAAGTAGAAGAACATTTGAAAAGGTTTTTTCTATTCATAGCTCTGTTTACCCCTAAAAGGGGAGGATTGAAATGATATGATATAAGCAATTTAAGTGTGACTGTCACAAGGATGCTTCAAACCAAATTTGAAGTGAATCTGCCCAGCAGTTTTAGTGACGAAGATTAATGTTGACGCATGACGACGAAGCACCCCCTTTGATACTAACAGCCCACCATGAAACTTCGGTTTTGCTGAGCTAACACAATTCCAAAATTTAAATGTAATATTCTTAACAACACTTTCAATTATCATATTAATATTTGGCCAACACATCTCTGTTTCTGCTTCATTTCATTAAGTCAGTAATAATTATATAAATCCAACGTGCAGAATATATCTTACTTGGTTATAAATCTGTCCCAGAATTTCAATTCCTCTGAGGCGAGTGGAATCACTTTCCCGTTTCCAAGTTCCTCGCACTCTACCCAAGCTGGATTAAACAGCTCGTTACGCGACTTTTTAACTTTATCGTATATCGTTTCCTCATAGTCATCGTCAATATTCCTTATGCTGCCAGATACGTAGTCATGTCTTTTTTTATGTTGTGCGTGGTGTGGTTGTTTCAATATGCCCTTAAGTTTGACCTGTGCAAGTTGTTGTCTATCCGTGTTGCCAGGTTCGTCATGATCTATTGTATCGTCATCAAGAAGAACCGTTTTTGTCGGTGCAGGTTTGGGCTCATTCTTTTGGTTAACAATTTCCTTCAAATGCTCATTCATTTCTTTTAGCAATTTGTTTGTCTCATGGAAACTTAAATCCTCTTTCTTTGTATTTTGGCTCTCTGTGAATTTGCTCAGAATATCTTTAAATTCTTTAGTAGAAAATGTAGGAAAAAGTCTACCGAAAAAACCTCTTTCTTTTTTTTTCTTTTCCTTTTCTTCAGCTTGCCTTTTTTCTATTTCTATTTCAGCTGGAGTTTTTTTCTTTGGAACTTCTCGAGTACCCCATGATACATTATTCAAGTTGGTCAATGAATATATATTGAGAAGTAAGAAGCCTGTTGGTATAAGAAGAAAATAAAGAGCTCCAAAAACGATGCATGACCACTCCTTTGGGTGCAACAGCGCTGAAAAGGTGAATGCTATAACTAGAAAACCTAAAAATATGACACTTGGATGAAATGGACTCTCTTGAGCTGCGGTAACTATTGTTCCAACTAATACAATCATCATCACAAACGCATATAGTGCTGTCAATATCTCTGCTACTTGGAGTTGTGTTTTTTCCTTCACATAAAAGCATAAGATAAAATAGAATATCGCAGGTGCAAGAGCAATAACATATCCCCATATGACAGTGACTTTAAAGACAACCATGTTAGCGCCGGCAATCATCATTAAAACAGTTGCAGGGCCGACAATTGTAGACAACAACAATGCACCCTGATACAGGATATACAGCATGCTGATGTTGGAGTTTACATATACGGTGTTCTTGTAGTCAGCAAGAAGGTCAATTATGTTGAAAACGGTAGATGGCATCCATCTTCGACGTTGTTTAAAAAACTCAGCAAACCTCTCAGGTGCGTATGTGAAAGCATCAGATCCAGCTGCATAGTCAACTCGATACCCCTGCTGTAAAAGTAGTGTGCATAACCATCGATCCTCGCCTGAAAAATACAGAAACAGCATAATCGCAAATGATAAAGCATAAAATAATTAGTCTGCTTGATAATTTTTGAAAACTGAAAAGGTCGCTCTTTGGTTAGTGCGGTTGTATTATTTTGGATTTCAAGTCACACATACACTGTTTAGATCATGCGAATGCTGGTAAACCGCATGAGACCTTACATGCATTAAGGCACCTAAGAAGAACCAGGGAATTTCTGCAAGATAGCTGGATAATTTCCTAATATAAGATTATCGCAAGTCTAAGCCACCTTAGCTATAAATCTATCAAGGTTCTTTTTGTCTCCTAGATTTAACACCGTTTTTGATTTCTGGTGAGTAGAAAGAGTCAATAAAATATGTAAACAATAATGGAATACAACAGTATATATTTAGTACGCTTTTAAAATACTAATAAGGAGCATCATATGATGCTTCTTTTCAAGTATTGTTATTTTTACATTACATGTGTAAACTGATTGAAATGCATTGATCCCTGACCTGTCTAATTCTAATTATCAGATTAGTGGAAACAATAAAAATTAACCACATCATATTTGTTTATGAAAGAGCACATGCCATTTTTTTGGTTAAATCTATTGTTGTTCAAATGGAAGGTCAGAGTAGGGATCTATCAATTTCCTTAAAATAGAATAAACAGTTAAAGTTTGTCCCTCACTTAGGCCATCGTTTCTTTCATCATCATTAAGAAAAATATATAAACAACACATATTATAAATACATTTACCGTGTAAACCGTAGTTATGACCACCTAAAGTTGTGGTACTGGTACTATTCATCAATTTACTAGTAAAAGTTATTTTGTAAGCTTTGTCACACGTGCTTGCTATGGACTAAGTTCCTATTTGACAGGTTTTTGCTTTACTCAATAATCAAACTCGATGAACTGGGGTTAATAAAACATTTATCAAAAATTGTGTTCTGTCCTTACTTTATAAAATTTCATAACATTACTTTCGATATTAATATAGGGTTAACGCACGTTTTTCCGTGTTATAACTTCTGCAGAGTCCCGATGAACGGTTGGTACCCGAGCCCGGTAGGGCGAGGGCTCCAACAGTTCCGAGGGACTCTGCAGACTTTATAACACTTGATTAACGTGCGTTGACGCTATTATAGCATTTTTTTTAAAAGATTCATGATGTATATTTTTAATACAAAACACATACATTAAATCCTTTTGCTTGTACGATATTTATCCAATTCTACATGGTTTACGTATTCTTTTTATTTTTCCGGGGCCAACTACTTGGGAAATTCAAATAAATGCTCAGAACCGTTCGAAAAATCGAAGTTTAATTGATTCAACAAAGCTGATCATTAAAGATTTATTAACTTAAGAAAAAACTACATTAAATTACTCTGCCCAAGACAAAACATGACCCTCAGAAATTCTTAGAATGATTTCAGATTGACGGTAGAAAAAAGATCAGTGACATCAGAATCGTTTTGTTTTGTTTTTTCAAGCTCACAAGTTTATAAAAGAATATCGGGCACTAAACATTATTCTCTCAAAGAAATATAAAAAGCATTTATCAATATAAACATCAATAAAACAACATTTTCTCATATTCATTTTGTGTTATCTTGTTTTGTAAGTTAATTTGAGGGTTAAACTAAATGACATTTATTTGTTTACATTGATAACTGAGAAAGGGCGACAACCAAGATTAGCGGTGATGTCTATACACCGTATTTCCGGCATAGTAATTTGATAGCTGCTCGCCGTTATGCGATTGAGGCCCTCGAATAAATAATTTCCATATAACTCTTGACCGTATGTATTGCGCATAGGTAAAACCGGGCTATAACAAGAGCGCGTGACTATGTTAACACATGGTTTTGGTCCCGTTATAACATGGGCAAAAGAGGGGAAAATAGCCGATTTTATGTTATAATATTTAAAAGTGCAAATGATGTAAAAATGTAATGACGAAATTACAATAAAATAGATAAATGATTATTTGTTTACATAAAAATTTGTATGAATTAAGTATTACTCATACCTTGATCATACATAAGGTGATGCGCAGCTTCTTTTGGCAGAATAGTATACTTCTTCATTACGTTATCATCCATAAGTGCTGACCCTCTGAACATAGAAAAACATCCGGGACTGCAAAGTACACACCCAAGAACATGCTCCGTCGCTTTCTGTAGCCAGTGAGCGATAGCGTACTCGAACTTTTGAAACCAAACAACAGGCCCTTGAACACAAAAACGTTTACATCAATTTGCTAATAAGAATTGATCATGTGAAGTTTTTCACTATATCTAACCTCTTTTAAATAAAGTATATAGAGGATATTTGTTTGTTTGTGTGTAAGATGAAATTTTATTTCATCGAGTGGGCTTTAAAAACAGTATTCTCACGAGTGGCGTAGCCACGAGTGAGAATACTGTTTTTAAAGTTCACGAGATGAAATAAAATTACATCTTACACAACAAACAAACACATTTTCCTGTATTTTATGCTTAAAAACAGGTTAAAACGAAATTTCCTGAATATTTACGTTAATATTAAAATCTGTTTTCCCCATTGAGAGCCTCAAAAAAGTCGAATTTCTCATTAAATACAAGAAGTCATGGGCTGAAAAATAAGTTCCACAATCAATGTTAAAAGGTAATGATAGTATTCATTTAATTAAAATAATATGTCTGATCGCTTGTTTTAATAATAAAAACAAACAATTCTAGTAGAAGAAAAAGTCCAACCATCTATCCATATTTCTGTTACTGACTGCGAATTTATATTAGACCTGGCTTTGTTAAATGTAAACGGCCGCCATTTTTAAAGTTGTGTATTTCGCTGGAGGAAAATAATTGTGTTTGATTCAGAGGGATATCATTTGGATTTGTTAGTCATACACCTTTTTTTAAAAAAAGAAAACTTATTGGAGGATTGTAACAGACAATAAATAAGTGTTGACAGATGTGTAAACATTCAAAAAAGTGGATAGGAAATTGGAAAACTTGGAAGCCTTACGAACGCTGGGTTGTTTACATATTCGTCGAGTGAAAGCTGCCGTTGCTTTTGAAGTTTTCATAAAGCATACGGCAGTTATTGCTCGTAGAATACTTAAATATCCCCAAATGTCATCAAGAGCAGTTTTGCATGTTGAAGGCATGTATTTTTCAGACTGCAAAAATGAAACAAAAAATTAAAGAGACGATATTTGGTGATTGGTAATTTGAATGAATAGAAGTGACATACTGTAAGTTTGTAAGTTTTCTTCTTTTTCTTAATTTTGATATGTAAGTTATTTATCAATTTCAGCTTTGCTTTTCTTTAAGCAGCATGACATTGTCGGAATAGTCAGCAAAAATAAAATTGAGGTACCACATGGGGAAAATCTTAAAAACGTAGTTTCGTCATTGAAAAGTGTGAAATTATAATTTGATAATTTTCACTGTGAAATTATCAAATATAATTTTCACGAATAAATCAGTAATCCACTGAAAAACATAAAATAAATACTTATATATCGTCTTATGCTAAACAATATGTGTACAATGCAGCACGACAAACACTAAGTACAATGTATGCATCTGATATCAAATCAATGCTGTACGACCAGTTGACTCCGATACATCTTGAGGATTTGCAAAAACATGTAAAAGGTTAAACTTAATCATTATTAAGTTTTGTTATCTTGATGAGTGTCATCTCTTCTAGAGAGGCTACAAAAACGAAACCGCTTTAAGAATCACACTTATCATAAAAATACTCATTAGCCGTTTGTTTTGTATAACACTCAGGCAAAAATGTTCTTTTAATACCTTTTCCAATAGGGTGTATTCTGCCGCAAGCAGCACCAACTTTCTCACTTTTTCTCATCCTGTCAAGAAGAAGGCGGACTGCACCAGGGGAAAAGTCTACGTCACCATCAAGCGCCAACAGAAACGTGTTTTGTGCCTAGAGTATATTTCAAATTCGGAACAAATAGTCTCTAATAAGGTTTATCATATACCCTTGCCCTTTTCGCGACAACGTAACAATGGTATATTACACTATCGCTCAAATTTTTGCTTAAGGAAATTGATTTAAAATAAACATAGTTTAAATAACATGCTCAATGCTTGCGTTTAACAATGAGCGCGTCAGTCTAAACATTTTTTTTCCTATTTACTGTTAACAATACTTTTATATTAATGTTATATTAATGCGGTTAGTATGTAAGAATATCTAATTCGTGTAGCAACTTTACAACTTCATTGAACTTGGTGAATAAAAATGTCATATTTTAACTCGGTCAAGATAATCAGTATTGGACATAAACTCAATTAATATCATCTATATGTTTTATTGATTATATGTGTACTATAGTAAGTTATCACATTGAATAAATGCTTGGGTTTATATCATATATCATATTTTTGCTATATTTATACGATTATTTCAAAAAATAAATATGAACAAAAGTAAAAATGTACCTTTTTAAGAACTTGGTCATCGAACGCCTGAAATATATGACTTCTGCCGATTGGTCCATTAGGTTTACTTTCAGAATCCCATTGTATTAAATCATTTATTTTCTCTTCGTTAAGTGCTGCTGAAACCGTTTCCTCACACATTCTTATTATCCGGAAACCCAACAAATAGTACATGTACATGACCTTGATAACAAGAAAAGAGCAAAAGCCTAACAAAGAGTTCAAAAACTTGAATTTTGAATCATTTTACGTTTCCTAAAATCGTAGTATATTTCTCAAGTTTGATTTTATTGAAATATTTTGACACATCTTGTGGCATGCAGCTTTAACAAAATTTTGTCATATGTCGGTGTTGGGTCAATTTGACCGAATTCCTTTATTACTAGCCAGACATAATCAGTTTCTCTGCAACTGACCGACCAGAATTCCTTATAAGTTCCTAATCAGCGTCGAGAGACAAATGACAATAACCCTGAATCATACAAAAGAAACAATGAAAGTCAAAATCATGCCGAACAACTTACTTACCTGGGACCAACGCTTCTTATGCCTTATTTTTTGTTTGTCTTTTAAATGTATGAAAAGGAAGTTATCCCCTGGCATTATATATATGACTTGTCCGCCATATGGGGTAGGAACTTTGTAAGGTGCCTTTATTTTCACAGTTTGCTCATATACACAGCTAAAATGGAATATCAGTACAATTAATACTTTATGTGATTTGTTTTAAAAAGTAATTTATGAAATAGATAACATACACATAATAACTGAATTCAAAAATAATTCACATTAACGTTTCTCGTTTGATTTTTTCTAACAAAAAGATTGTGTAGATGCTTGAAATGTAATGCTAGTAACAATTTTAATGTCAAACTTGTTACTCATGATTATCTTTTACGAGTAGCTCCTATTGAAATTACCTGGCGGCTTCCTCCATGATGGTTGCCAATAACTTTACATATTCATTTGGAACAAATTCGTTATTATCACCCAATGTCATTGCATCATCAAACAGAATGTGTGCTACAGTATTAAAAATAAGATATGTTTCAAATAATTTGTAAGCCGCGTCTTAAATGGAAGAGGTATATTAAATTTGATTTAACTTTTTGGCGTGTCATGGTCTTGCCATAATTTTTGTTTTATAAGTCAGATCATTTGGAATTTAGTGCTTTCAAGATTCAATATTACTTTTGTCAATTTTAGTTTTGTTTGACATCTCCTCTGTCTTTTCCTTTTATATGTCGACTTTGAAATGCATTTTTAATTAGTCTAATATGTCTTTATTCATGCTTTGGTCACATGCATTATCTTGATTCAGAATATTTAAATAGGTTCAACAGCAATGTCGTTTAACAGCATAAATATAAACCAGTTTGTAATAGAAATAAAAACACTAAAATGTCACAGTAAAAAAATGGTTTCACAATCGTTTTCGTTTGAATTAATAATATTTTCTAACTTTTATAGATTCTAAATTATGCCTAACTTGAATTCCGCTTCAGCAGTTTATAGAGCACAATAGTCTGTATAAAACGAAGCGAAATGTTGTGTTTCTTTGCCCTTTTAAGCTATAAGCTAACTCCTCTTAAAATTAACAACTGGTCGAGTCTGCTCATGTTTAGACTCGCTTTCGCTTTAAATTTTCATTCAGCAAGGATACAACTTATAGGTTACTGTACTTTATATGATGCAAGCTTTTTTTGATATCACGATTTAAACAATTTCTTTAAACAATAAGGCTGGCCTTCAATAAATCATTGCAATTTAGAGGCATGCAAATAAGAGGTTAAACATCAACATATGGGACCTACTTTCAATATCTTGAAAACGGAAACATTAAAAATAGCAAAATTACATGAAAATTGCAGATTCGCTTTGATTGAATCTGTACATGAGAGATAATGAAAAAAGTAAAACACATAAAAGTGATGGATCCAAGACCCCGAAAGACCAGAAAAATTAAACAGCACTGAAGTGAAGTACGGGACAACATTTTACAGCTGCCACACGGAAGTTGACACCTGCTGTTGTGATGTACAAATATCTGGAAAAAAGGATCCCTCAGAAGCATTGAAAACAGCAAAATTACATGAAAAAAAATGCAGAGTCGGTTTGTTTGAGTCTGTATATGAGGGATATTGAAAAATTGCAACATCCCTCACCCCGCATAGCACCGGCTTGAGTGGTACTCAATTCTAAACAATTTAAAGTGCTGGAAACAATGAGCCCGAAGGTCCAGAAACAAATATAACAACACTGAAGTAAAGTATGCTCAGCACAATATGGTAAACAAAATCAACAAAGAAAGGTGCCGTTCAACGAACGCATCCTTACACGACCCCGCAACAAATGGCCAGGAGTCTCCCCCCACCCCACCGCCAAACAAAAACAGGAAAGGGCATTAGGCTGAGCAATGACAGGATAATCACTTAAAAAATAAAAGGAAAATAAATAGTAACTGACAAGGAAATCAATTAGTCCGGACAAATTTTAAAGTTAAAATCATTCAAGGGACATTACTCTGACAATTATCATTGAATCGAAACATATTGATGAGATGCACAACTAAACATAGTATTGATCATTCTTATAATGTTTTGATCAAAATGCAATTATAGTGGTTCGGAAGAGTAGTCTAACCAAGTAGCTTGGCACACGAAAAAACACCTTTTCTACTCAAAAAAAAAAAATAAAGTCGATAGAAGAAACAAGAAATAATTTGATTGAATAAATGATAGAAAATCTTTCTCGTCTTACAGCAGTGCTAATATTCAACACTTTACATTTAAAGTAAAAACAAGTCAGTTAAATAAATTGTCATCATATAAATTGTCAAACCTTCGAAGTCATAGAAATCTTCATCTTTCTTATTGAATACTTGTTCAGCATGTCGTCTGACAAACTGATCTCTATCCATTCTGAAGCAAGATTAAACTATATATTGAAATGCCATAATACAGACACATTTAAGAAAAAGAACCCTTACTATATCATAACGTTGATGATTAAGTTTTAAAGGAGTAAAGATAAACTAGCCTCACTTGACCAATACTTGTTTCTAAAGCATTTTCCAGTTACAATGTTAAGTAGTACCCTTGCTGATACTTTGTTGATCTTTTGTGTGATTGAATTTTGTTGGGGTTGCGTATCAACAATCATATCACTTAATTATTATGCAATTAATTCTTAGTATTAAACAGACAGACAGACACACACACACACACACACACATAAATTAATTCACATTTAAAACTTTTAATTCTAGGCAAATAAGGAAACAAACTTTTTATTTAGAGATGACATAAGACATCTCTACAACCCCACACGTTTCAGTAACATAACAAGTGATGGAAGTTTCATCAGTGACGCAAACCTTTCGAGCATATCAAAACCAAATATAACTATTTTTCTGGCATAATAATTCTAATACCAATCAACAACAAAAACCATGTCATAAGCATGAAATACACATATTTATTAACAATTGACTTCTGAATATAACCTTGATTACTATCCTAAAATTTGGGCCTTAACAAACAGAGTAGTATATGATGATAAACGTTTTACCAAATAATTCAGAAATCTAGTATACGTGAGCGGACGCATTACACCAACCTGTTTATCCAAACAGAATCTAGAAAAGAGAAAGCACAAGAAAGCACAAAAATATTCAGATAACCCTAACCAAAAAAATTGTACGATATATATATATATGAAATATATCAATTTTAATTTTTGATAAATACCAGTTCAGTTTGAATACACGAAGTAGAGTATGCTTTTTCCTGGATATTGTATGTAATATACAAACAAATCACACGAAAATCAGGACCCCTACCTGAATATCGATTTCATAAGCTGAAACATTTCATATTTAGTCTCATGCCACATTGTTGCGCATGCGTATATCATAGGGGTATCTCTGAACTTTTTGTTTTTGTAATTATCTGCATGAATGTCTTCATTTTCAGCTTGGCTTGCAACATCATCTTCTACGTCACCTTCGATATTAACTTTCGAGTTAAATTTGGACAACCTGTTAACAATTAATAAACTTGCAATGCATTTGAAACAAAATAGTAAAAATTCAAGTCAATGACCTACCATTCAGCGTGACACATACAGTGCCGGTTTAATTTAAACCTGATTCGTTTAATCATTTACTAGTAGCATATTAACTTTGATACAAGTATAATTTAGTATTATCTTTTTCTGAATCTATAGCATATAATTTATGTTTGGTTTAATTTTATAATGCACACCATCTGAGACTTTGATGATTAAAAATATGTGAAGGAAATGTCGTACCTGTAAGAAACCTTTTCATCTTTTATATCCATGTAAACTATCCTTGTGTGTCGGCGTCTGTTTAAAAGTAGATGCTGCTCAAAAAGAATTCCGCAATAGAATGGGTTCATAAACAATCTGTAAATCATGTTAAAATGCATATTATATTTGTAAAGATAAATGAAAAATGTGTATTTCAAAACATTATAACATTATAACACTACATTGGTCTAGCAACACCAAAATTATGTAGATACTATAGAAACATTGAATATATGACATCTTTATAATACGTTAATTTTACCTTTCGGTCTTGGCAAGTCTTTCTATTTCCGGGTAAAATATATGTCTACATAGCCAATACAAAGATATCCACACAGTAGTGCCACAAATATAGTGTAAAACCACATTCAAAGTTTCAATATCTTCGCGACAGTGTCCTTTTTCCGACGTAAACGGGCTAAGTACACCTCCAATTGAACATTCAACTGCTGCTATAACTACTGCCAATGGTGTAGATAGCATGAGAGGAATACAAAACGAAAATCGTTGTAGCTTTAATTTACATGCTGTATATCCAACATAATTTCCGGCAAAGGCAGACAATATCAGCGTTATTATTGCTCCGCTACGCTTTAAATCATTTTCGCTGAGCTCACCAAACGCTTCCGAAAATGTCACTTTCTCAATACGCTTATGATTATCGTCATCTTCAATGTTTTCTTCATAATACGCTTTAATTATCCATGAAAGAAGAAGGGTTATACCGATCTTAATGAAACTTGTACATGTTGAAATTATTGGTCTTGCTTCTTGGAGTTCAAATTTTGCCTTCAATATAAACTGTCCACAACGACCTTTTGAATTTTCTGTCCAGCAAAATCTGTCATCTACGAAATTTTCCCAATATGCACAAGAAACAAAAAGTATACTTAATATGAAATAGACAAAATTGTTGTTTTCTTTGTCTATTCTACTATCGACGACAAAATGATCTAACACTAAAACAGCGGAAATGTACGCAAATTGCACTAAAATTGTTATAATGTTTAGAGCAAAAACAGAAAGTCTGAATATGGTTGATTGTTTTGTTGATTGTTCATTGGACGCTGTATTTCCTTGATTATTTTGTTTATTGTTCATTAAACCCCGCCTTTCATTGAACGCCGCCTGATCATTTTTATCATCATTTACATTCTTCCCACTGCTTTCTACGTCTGAAGCACAAATTGGAAACAAAACCGACGGCACTACAGCTACGCCACCCAATAAAAGAATTCCACGGACCATGTCCAATTCTGGAAGAATGATGAACGCAAGAGTACAAAGGCCGATGGAATGCATAATTTCGACAACCAAGCACTGTAATTGTAAAACATTAAATCACTGTATATAATGATTATGACTTTAGATAACAAACATCACGCGACGCAATCTTTAATTAAAATTACATTACCTTCCCTTACGTTCAACTCTCACCAACAGCAACTTTCTTACGATAGCCAGTACCCCATAGCTTTGATAAAATATAATTAACAAACATTAAAAGTCACCTCTCTTAACTCCGACCAACAACCATTTTTTTTCAAAATGAATGGAAAAACCTTTCAAACGGCCAGCAAACTGTTGGCTGGCTGTGTTATTTTTAACTGATCAGATTTTCCCCAAGTTATCTTTAATTAAACCAATTGATACATCATGCATTGAAAGTCAAACTTCCTTCTGCTTGTGAAGATCATGAGTCATGTTTCATAAATACTTGTCACATTGTTATATTAAAGTTAGATCCCCGGGAGATGCTTTGTAGTTTAGCGCGGAGGAAGGTTGTCTAGTACTGGTGTAACTCTCTAGGAACGATGGTTAGGAAACTACCCGCCTATATGACTGAAATACTGTTGGAAAAAGGCGTAAAATGAAACAAACAAACAAACAAACAATATGAAAGTTAAAATGAAATATGAATGCACAGAGTAAACATTTAAAATCCATGTTTTTGTTTGCTTCGAACATTTATGCATTCAATACACTGCGATTTTCTCCAAAATAACGTTGAGAAACCACCATTTTGTTCTTTATAGGGAAAAAAGGTATTGTTCCTGTGACTGCTTAGTGTATTCATTTTCAGTTAATTTACAGAATAATGACTAAAAAATTCAAAACGAAGAAATGAAATTTTGCCTGTGTCTACCTTAAATGTCATAAGTATTCTACAATCAAAAAATGGATAATGGATTACGCAAGTATATAAGCGTATATTTGGTTTTTACGATCAAACTATCTTTTTCAATCAGTATCAACATTATTTATCAACAATGAAAATCTATATTATACGTACTGAAAGTAATCACTTAAAAGGTCTTGTATTTCTAGTTCGTTATCTCTCTACAACTCAAGACATTTCATTTCAAAAACATTAAAATATTAAAACTTTTATCTGTAACACAAACCTTCAAAGCAACATCCACCTTCCTACAGCACTCAATTTGTACTGTCCCGCTGCTGGCTGTTGTAAGGATATTGCAATAAATATACATTTTTGGAACAATTTAACAGTTTCTCAATCACGTGTGGCATTTTATGCAAAATTTTTCACCAGTTTTAAAAACGTTGGGTTAGACTAGGAAAAAGTAGTTGTTTAAAATCCATTTAAAGACCCCTGCTTAGAAAAAGTCCCGGCCCGTAAGGGGTAAGGGTGGGGATTTTCAACAAAAAAATTTTTTTTGCAGCCCGCTTTTTTTACTAAAAATTTTTATTTTATAAATGAAAAAAAGTTTAAATTTTTTTACAAGACATGAAATATTTCCAGGATTGCTAAAAACCAAGTCTAAAGAAAATAAAAAATTTCAAATTTTTTTTCTTTTAATTTTATATGCGTATGTATTTTACAAAATATGAAATTAATTTTTTTGTCTTGCAAAAATTTCTGTGACACGCTCAATATTTATTTGGGAAATTTTAAAAGCAAACATGTAAAATATTATTTAAATGAATTTTTTTTTTTTGTTATGTTGAACATTACACTAACATAGTAGAACTTATATTTTCCAGCTTGATAGCTGGTTATCCTCCATTTATTATATCAGACACAAGCCGGTACATGATTAGAAACACCGATGTTCTATAAGCTAGCTGTATAGCTTCTTTCCAAACAAAATCCAACGTATATGGAGGGAAGTCAGCGACCTTCACCACTTGGTGGCTTATAACCATACAAATGTCTGTTTAAACGCATGAAGTGCCTTTTACCTACCTGTACATCTGACTGAGAATTATCTTTTGTGCGATCAATCACTGGTGACACAAGGACAACCAAGCTGAGTTTTTGAGCAACTGCACACCAAAGGAGAATACAGAATAAAAGAATATAAGTGACAACTTTGATCACTTGAAGTCCCCTGTCCTCATCGACGTCACGAATTTTTCTTTCCCGTGCAATTATCCGACAGACGTCCCAGAACCTATAAAATAGCTTTATAACAATTAACTACCAAACTGATAATAAAATGAAAAAAAAAATCATTAAACTCGCATATGTCTTGTCATTACATTAATATTTTATATATAAAATAATTATCATGTTTTAGTGTTGAAGGTTGGGAAAATTATCAAGCCTTTTCACTTCCGATATTTTTCATATATTGAGTTTAATGTAACTAATCTTAGTTTACAAGCTGCATCTATTGTCATTTTGATTGATATCATACTTTGCACGATTTGGAATATGTAGTAAGAACTAAATATTGTCCAGACAATACTAAAAAAGCCACTGCCGAGATGGAGGCAACGCAAGAGCGTTTTTGTTATTTTTCTTTACCTTTTTTAACCTTTTATACCCCATTAGCATATTGCGATTTTCATTGAAAAGCCTCCTGTAACAAGTTCAAACTGCTATGAAACTATGAAAAATGCATTTAATACTGATTAACTTGGCACAAATGTTGACTAGACCATAGCCCTTGTAACAGCATGCTCAGTCGTAAATTTCCTGTTTCCATGACAACAGAAGAACGTTTCAAAATTGCCAAAAATCACTATTTCGCATTGTTTTTTCCATCAAAAATGATTTCAAAGTGCTGCAACTTTTCAAGGAATTGTGATAAAGTAAAGGCATTTCAGCGTTGGTTACTAGTTACCCTAAGATCGGTCCGAGGCCATTTTAAGCCTGTCACATGTCCAAAATTTTCTTCGCGATGAGGGGGACTGCCGCCCCTTCAACCCCCCCCCCCCCAAAAAAAAAAAACCAAAAAAAAAACCAGAAGGGGTCACATCCCTTGCAACACTTTAATGTAACATTTGGATGGTCACTTTTTAACAACACTTTTCGAAAACAATGTTTGGGGCCTAAATATGGCATTTTTTCACTGTTTGAGGCCTCAAAAAGCGGAAGCCAATAAGCCGCCAAGACACGTCTATATGAGGAAAAAGGTTAAAGGAAACAAATAAAAAAGGGAAAGCAAAGTTTGCCTTTATCACACTTTTTGTATGAAACATTTTCCATAATATGACAAAGAAAGAAAATTAAAAGACTTTTGATGGCAACTGTCATTTTAAGGTCAAGGTCATAATAAAACTAGTCAACAAGTCGGTTTTGTGTGTTTTGTACACGTATGAATTAAATCTGTACATAAATAAAAAAATATCAAAAATAAAACTTCAATATTATGACCTTTACGATTTAGGTCATTTAAAGCTCAAGATAATTTCAGTCTTTTTAAAAAAAACATGTTCAAAGGGTTATTTTGCCCAAGTTTGAAAATAATTCATTTTTTAGTTAATTACAAATTTACAGCCAAATTATAGCAAAATTAAGTGAAAATACAATAATTTGATTTTCAAGGTCATATAGAACTCAAGGTCAATTTGAGATTTATATACTTTAAAGTCTTCATGTAAAATATATAGTTTTAATTGATATTATATGCATGGTCATTATTTCATAGATGACCCAGTGACTGCAATATCAGTAGGGGCGACCTTATGGCCATGATCAACCTCCGTACCAAATATGATGACGGTGTGTTAAAACATTCTTAAGTTTTTATTTTTTCAAGTCCCTGTGACCTTGACCTTTGACCCAGTGACCTCAAAATCAATTAGGGTCATGCAATGGTATTGACTAACAAGAACACTTTTGGTCAAAGGATTCTTAAGTTATTGGACAGACAAGTTTTTTATAGTCAAGAGCCGCTTATTATTTAAAGTCACAGTTATTTTTTAGCAAAATCATTGAAAATCAAATAATTTAATCCTCAATGAAATATCATAATGAGCCATTGTCATTTACATATAGTTTGATATTTGTGATGTTTGCATCTTTAAGGCCAATTATGTCTCAGAAATGTTATCATTTTGTAGTCTCAAAACGTTTTATTATAGAAAAATCAACTAAAATTCTGTCGTTTTACCTTTGAAGGTCAAATTCATTTATAAACGAAAGTCAAAGTTATTCTAGACTAAGTGTATTTGAAGATCTTGCTTCAAGTTTTGAAGTTAACAAATATGAAACTAATACACCAAGAAATAAATAAAAAAAACTGGTTGAACTGGGTGATGCTTCCCATGAAGGTTTCGAACACAGAAAAGTATGAAAAAATGACCAGAAGGCAAAAAGTCCGAAATGAAGTTCTAGTTCTTTGCACTGCAAATTCTATTCAATTAGATCTACCTACCTATAACGTTTTGTGTTGATATCTCTTATAGTTTCAGAGTTATGCTCTAGGTAACGTTCAAAATGTTAAAATGAACAAAGGGCAATAACTCAAAAATACGGCAAGGCTGTGTTTAGGGTCTTTAGCACTGCACTTTAATCCAATGACCTATCTACGTACAAAGTTCAATATTTGTATCTCAAATAGTTTAAGAATTATGTTCAAGTATAAAAATGAACAAAAGGCAATAACTCCAAAAAAGACAAGACATAGCTATGGTTCTTTAGCACTGCACTTAAACTCAATGAGATTTATCTACCTACAAAGTTGTATGTTGATATCTCTTTAGTTTTAGTTTTAAACTAATGTCCCGGACAAGGTTCAAGTATAAAAATGAACAAAGGGCAAAAAAATCCAAAATAAGGCAAGGTAGAGTTATGATTCTTTATCAATGCACATTCACACAATAAGAACTATGTACCTACAAAGGTTCATGTTGATATATCTTATAGATTTACAGAAATGTCCCGAACAAAGTTCAAAGTGTGAAAATGAACAAATGGCAATTACTCCAAAATTAGGCAAGACAGAGTTATGGCTCTTAAGCACTGCACTTTTACTTAATGAGATCTATCTACCTACAAAGTTTCATGTTGACATCTCTCATAGTTTTAGATTTATTCACTGGACAATGTACAAAGTGTAAAAACAAGGCAGAGTTAAGGTTTTTTGTGTACTGCACATATACTCAATAAGATCTATCTACCTACAAAGTTTCATGTTGATACTTTTCATAGTTTTAGAGTAATGTCCCGGACAAAGTTCAAAGTGTCAAAATAAACAAAAGGCAGTCATTCAAAATCAGGCAAGGCAGAGTTAATTTTTTTGTGTATTGCCAGTCTCCTCAATGAGATATATCTACCTACAAAAGTTTCATGTTGATACCTTTTGTTGTTTCAAAGTTATGGAAAAGAAAGGCTGACGGACGGACAGACGGACGGACGGACAATGCGGCGACTATATGCTCACCCTTCGGGAGCATAACAATATGATGTATGTTAAAGTGTGCGGACGGCAACAGCATTGTTTGGGACAATGGCACGCAAACATTGACTATAACATTAACTTTATTTTACTTCGAAAAAGAAGTCAAATTAGAAATGAAAATGAGAAAGTTTTCTTATGCTAACTCGGTCTTCTTCTTTTCCTTTTTATTATGTTTTTCCACTTCTTTCTTTTCCGTGTGTTCGTCATCGCTATGGGCAACTGGAGAAGGTGATCGAGTCGATTCAGTTGATGTTCTAAATCTTCCATCATGTGGTAATGTGTCTCCTAGCTAAATCATAAATAAAGGGAATAAAAGGCATTCTAATATTTGCTTTAATTAACGAAATGTCATTATCTTTATTTGCGAGAGCACATGAGCCTCAATGCAAAATAAAATGACCATCGGGATTGTAATTTATACAAACGAAGATTTTTATAAACTAAACAGAAAATATGATGCCTAAGTGCAAGCGTTTGCACAATAAAAGTTAATAAGGGTTAGCAGTAACAACAGTGAAAATAGAGGAATAACAAACACGTGACAGTATGCACCCGAAGAAAATTTGAGTCATCAAAAAAAATTTTTCAGAAAGAGGAGATATGCGTGTTTGAAACTTGTCTGAAACACTTTTAGTCTAATTAATTATACTTTTGATATAAAATGACACTAAGGGAAAATAATTTCAACTAAACGGTGGTAAATATGCCTGTAGTGATACTGACTTTAACAACAATAATGTTTGGACAGAAAGGCATTAATCTACTTTTCAAGTAAGTAAGTATATATGCTAAACGCAGTTTAGGTTAGCAGGACTATATCTTTATGATAAAACTATATACATTTATGTATGTCAAATAACACTGGAAAGTACAAATTTTGATTAAAGGCTAATGCTCTATACAACAGCATAGCTCAAGGCATTAAAATTTTATAAAACATGACTTGCCTTGTTGATCTTTATTCTCTTAATTTATAGGTATTTTCATATGTAAGTCTGTATAGAATGTGTGAACGTATTTATCTATCGGTAAGACCAATTATATACATCAAGTAGGAGAAGAACAATGTAAGGCATGGTTTAAAATGTTCATAATTTTTTTAAAAAGGTTATGTCAATTGACCTTGTAACTATGGTTTTATGTGATTTTAGCCCTGATGATTTAGAAACTGGTTGGTAGTAAAAAAAATTGAGGAACACCAGTGATTGTCACTTATTTTTATTATATAATTATATGAACTATGAGTTTAAACTATGTTTAAAGATATACATTGCACAAATTTACTTAAACGGAGTGACCACAGGTTCGGGGCTATCTGAAATAATTGCAACATGCCAGATAATTATGCTCTGAACATTGTAGTTTCCCATAACAAGACTAATAAGACTTTCTTTTGAATCTATAGAAAGTAAATTGCCCTTGTTATAGAGTAAATTTTGATTTATGTATGCCCAAACGTGTGTTCTGCACATCATATCATTATTGTTTACCTTTCGACAGATAGATACATAACAGTTGAAACATTGAAATTCATACCTTAAGGAAGCCCAGGCCAGAAAACCGCTCATTGTGTCATAATTATTCAAATTTCTTACCAGAAATCTCTATAACCACCAATCTAAACCGATTATACTTACTCGTATATGATAATTACGGAGGATATTATAATGCTAACATCACAGACCAATCTCATCCAGCACGTTTGTAAAGAGTATACTTAATATTATATTAATATTAAGTTTTTTCATTTGCAAAATCTTTGTATACAACATCCTCGTGTAATTGTGTAAAGAAAATCGCAGAGGTTCACACGAAGAAAAGGAGTAAAATGGATGACAAAACAAGAAAAACAAAAGATTTGCTTTGCTTTGAGTACGTACTCCTGTAAATTGTCCTTCAGAGTCAAAAGGGGTCGATGTTAATGATGAATCATCTTCCGATAAATAAGAAGGGGGATCACTATCATTTCCAGTCACTGATGTACCTAACCCTCGCCTTAAACCACCTGAAACTCCTTTTGAAACACCTAAACCTCCTCTGGAAGCACCTAAATCTCCTCCGGATGCACCTAAACCTCCCGTTGATGTACCTGAACCATTTGGTTTATCTTCCTGTGATCAGAAAAAAACTAACATTCCAAACTTTAACCAAAAGAGTATACACATATAAATATAATGAATTCATCCTTGTCGAAATACATTATAGATTACAGAATGTTAATGAAAATATGACAGCGGTTAAAGACTCTTTTATGTTTCTATCGTAAATATATTTATTACATCACAAGAAAGTTTCCTCCACTTATTTAAAAGCCAATTTACTGCATCAACACCTTTAGTCGATTGATCGTTGCTACAGAATGTGGTCATTACTAAAACGAATTTAAAGTTTCCTTTAATATATCTATAGAAATATACCAATGTTCAACACAGTCTACTTGATTGTTACAGTTTTAGTTTTACTGCTCTTACCTGATCCTTTTCTTTCTTCTCTTTGTTACGCTCTTCTTCCTCTTGCCTCAATCGTTCCGATTCTTCCCGTCTCTTTCTATCAGCTTCAATGCGTTTTTGTTCCTTTTTTATTTCTGCTACCTTCCTCATACATATAGTAACTGTAGCAGCAGCTATTCTTTGACGACAACGCAAAATTTGCTCAAACCAATCATTAAGCTCGATCGTCATGAATATCTGATAAGATATCGAATTAATACAAAATCAAACAGACTAACATACCTTTACAAGAAATGATTCATAATTAAACGCTTAATTTTGACAAATTATCTTATGACATACACATAGTCTTATCTAAAAGAAAACAGTATCAAACGTTAAAGTCATTACATTCATAAAATGGAGAGACAAAACATACCCTTGATGTACCACATCTGAAATATCCTTGGAAACTAGATGGGACTAAACGAAGAAGACTTTGAGTCACGTCTGCCTGTCTTTCTGGCGGTAAAGACGGAAATAAACAACGGTATCTGAAATTATTTCCGGATGCATCAGACGATGATATCAGAAGTATACATTATACAATTATGTCGAAATTAAAATATGACCTGCAGTAAACCCAGCTACGCGCAGAACATTCTACGTTTAACAGTGTACATTGCAAATTTTAAGCTATAACTGTTGGGAAACAATTTTGCAAAACTAAGTCATCGCATATTTGCCATGATATTTGTATAAACGCATGAAAGCTGATACTCTCAATGCCTTAAGATTTTATTTTGCTTACATACATACCTTGAGATAAAGTCCGTATAGTATTTGCGAACTGCAAAGCCCATTTTTCTTATCTTCGCAATTTCTGCTAATCCATTGTATCGTAATTGATCTGCGACAACATTCTGGTCGAAGTCGTTCGCTGACAGATTTGAATTGGCTTTAATGCACCTATAGTTAAACAAAGGATGCGTTAGTACTGCAAATGAAAATTACATATTCAGATATAAATTACAATTAAACGTTTAATGTCAAAATTGACAAATGCTATTCATATGATATATAACTTTAAGTCTGACTTTTAACACTTTAAAAAATCATTTTTAAATCAACATTTTCAAAATTCATTAAGGGTAAACTTAAATGTAAATAATTATGTAAAATCAAGTTTACCGTTTCAATATTAAAATGTATTTGAAAGTTATTGTTGAGCAAATCTGAAAGTTTTGGACCAGTTTACATAACACCATTACTGATATGTTTATCGGTTGAATATGCAACTATTGAGAAAGGACCAGAAAGCTGCTCAAACAGCAAAGTTAAAGATATTGCAAGAACGGTGTGGTGAGGCTTTTTCAGGTTTATAGTGGCAATGCAAGTAAATATACCGCCCTTGTATACTAGCACAAACTTACGCCAATTCATCATATGTTTGATCAGCCTTTTGATTTCTTCCTTTCCCTTTTTAAAGATATAATTGTGATATCCTACCTGACAAAAAATGGGTCTCCGTCACCCAATTTCTCTAATAACTGCATCAAAGAGTTCTAAAAGACAAATATTTGCAGGTTTATGTCATAAACTACTGATATCTAAAATTCCGTAAAAGATGATGATTTTATTTGCTTTTTTAACATTGCTCCGCCTTTATGCCTTTTTTGTATTTGTTCGGTGCCTGGCAGAATGTCTCGAATATGGTTTTGTGAGACTGAGCGTAGTTCAAAGCTGTGTGTTACGAACTAAACGCACCCTGGATGTCCACTTAAGTCATCATTACCATTTTAAGGATAAAAAGGCTGACGCTACATGAAATAAACAATTTGCTAAGTAAAAAATCCTGTTTTGCAGAAGAGTGCAATATTTAGTTGAAATTTCAAATAAATACCAATCAATATATATTATATTTATTACCCTTCCAGATTTTTTCCGCCTTTTTGATTGCATATTGATCACCCGAAAGAAATTGATATAACCGAGCCAGGCGGGTAATATACACACTAAATATCCCCGTTGGGTACCCCACGTTGTAAACAACATGCGCTGTAGCGATGCGCGTACGGTTTGATTTTACGCGATGTAAATTTCGATTATCAAGCACTTTTTTACTGTCAAATGATGAATATTTACCTAAGTAGGGTAATAATACATATTCTCATCAGTATTGAAAACAAATATGACCTTTTGAAAGCTTGATATTGATTCCGAAAAAGTGCGTTCAACAGACTACTCCTTTTCTCTTGTTTACATTCGTTAGGTTCGATATAAAATACGTCATGTATTTATGTGACGTCATGTTGTGGTAAAGGGGTACCCTAAAGGGAATCTTATTTCGACGTTTCATTTGAAGTAGCAATGATTTATTTTAAAATCGTCTTAACTCGGCAGGGGAATGGTAATAAAAGTATAATTTTGGTTTTGGAGTGATATATGTGGATATATTACCTTCCAAGATAAAATATCACCCTCGCCCCGAGCCGTTATAAAATCTTGACAGGTAATATATCCACATATATCACTCCAAAACCAAAGTAACATATAATATCAATACATTACATTTAACCAGACATTCAATTTATTTTACCTGGAAAAATGAAACAAGCGTCAAATGTTTCTTTCCAGGAGTAATCTGTGTCAATTCCTGTGGTTGTGGCTGTTGAACTGTCCCAAACTTCTTCTTTAAACTTTTGCCTATTTCCATTGCTAGAGCCGCTCCTGCCGGAGTTGATTTAAGTTTGGGCTTACCTGGAAACATCACTGGTACTCCACGTCGCGATGGTCGAAACTGAAAACCTGGTTCCCTAATAAAGAAGATTATAATTCCCTACTAATTGTACAGTGTCGCAGATTTACTGAATACTTTTATGTATATTATACCAACATGGATAAGAAGTAAAATGTTATTGTTAATATCGTCATGATAATTAATTAAAAGTTTAATCATTGTTATTGTTAATATCGTCATGATAATTAATTTAAAGTTTAATCATATCCATATAACTGACTGACATTCTCAACTCATTCACATTCAGATTGAATGATAATATATCTGGAAACAAATTGATCCCTAGGAATCATTAAAAACAACAAAATTACATGAACATTTCAGTCTGAGCTTGATTGAGTCTATACATGTACATAAAGTCTTTTTTATTAATTTTGCATACCGAGTAAAAAAGTAAAGTAGAAAATTTGAATCCCTACAAAACGCCGTTATAAAACGACAAAACTTGGCTCTATGTGTAAAGGATGTCGTATCAATATGTCAAACCATTCACTCTGCGTTTGACTGTTTGATGACATTTGTGCATGCCTCTGTCGCTTTTGAACAGCAAGCGGTCAACTATAAGTAATTTGAGTATTTATAGTCTTAATTGCACAGGCTTAACTTATTTTATTATATATAAACTTTTGAAATGTCGCTTACATTGATATTGTTCCAGTAGGTCCTTTTTTGATTGTGAATAGGTCAGCAATGAAGTCATCTTTGCTTTCCCTCATAGTCTGAACAAGTTCAGCATTCAATCTGTCTCGGTTCTTCTCTAAAAATCCGTCGGCGTTGTACGGAACCTTTATTTTACAAACATTGTTATCATATTAATAGGACTGAGAACGAAAATGATTTGACGTAGCATGGAAATTATTATTTGTAAAACAGACATTCTCAACAAGCAAAATACATATTTATTTTTGTCGATTCAATGACATAATAAAGAATCAAAAGCCAAGTTTTCAAAATGGAACAATATATAAACTTCGTTTCATTTTGTATCTACGTTTCCTCTACATCAGGAATCATTATATAAAAACTGCAGAAAACAAAGGTGTAATTCAGTATTCTTTGTGGTGTATATCAAGGTTCTTTTTCATCAAGAGCTGAAGAAAGTGTGTCAATATGCTGATGTTAAACAAATAATTTAGAATGTAACAATTATGACCTTTTCTAAAGGCATTAAATAATGTTCTGACAATTAAGCATTATTTTGAAATGTGGCATACTTTTTAAAACAAATACGGCATGCCACTACTTGACAACTTACCAAAGCTGCAAAATGCTGTATACAGAAAACTGGGTGGTCTCCAGGTGGTTGTATGAACAGTTTATTTTGGCCAAATTTCTTTTTCAAGTGATCAACAAATCCACGATCGGAAGAATGTTGTATGTTGGAATTCTCGTCCAGTATTGCTAGAATACCTGACTTTGGCTGTAAATTAAGAAATAACCACAATAATTAGAAGCGAGATACTTGAAGATTCCTGATGATTCTATGCAAGGGAATAAAAGGTCACAAAAAGTCACGTGCCTCCAGCTTATCATGTCGTAAACCCATATCTTCTTCCTATTCTTTTTCATAGAATTATTATTCAAATTATTTTCAATATGTCTGTTCACAGAGTAGCGTTGTTGTTAATTGTCTTTATGTAGCTCCACTGAGGTAGTTAAAGCATACAGTAAATACATAGAATTTGAAGATCTTGCATAGATCAACACGGAAAAATTATGAAAAAAATATACAAAAAAATATTCATAACAAAGTTCAATATCGTTATTTACTGATACTCAAAGCCTGATTATAGTAAAAGACCTTAAAGCTGCATGCCTCCAGATGAGTCAAAATATTTCAATAAAATCAAACTTGAGAAATATGTACTACGATTTTAGGAAAAGTAAAATGATTCAAGATTCAAGTACTAGTTTACATGTTATGTGCGGTTAATGACTTATTTTTAAATATTTACAACTATATTTCCCCTGCATTACTAACGCAGTAAGGGCTATTTATGCATATTTAAACAACTTTTTGGTAATTTACGTGGGTTGTTAGTACCAATGCAAATGTGCAAATTGCTTCCTTTTGGTTATTTCACAATATTATACATTCAAATACATTTCCAAATTTTTTTATAGAAATAAACGTGAATCTGGAGGTGTGCTGCTTTAAAATTGTTATTTACATTTTTAGGTCATTTTCCACTATGGAAAAAATTACTTTTGAAAAATAAAACGAAGTGAGTAAATGTCCTGAAAGTTGGCAGACAAGTTGGTATATATACACCTTCATAAAGTGGTCTAAGAATGTCAAAAAGAATACATGCATCCAGGCCCTTTCTTTAGAATACATTGTAAAGGTTACTAATGCATGGTTTGATAATGGATAAAAAATGAATATGTTATAAAGTTTTAATTAGTGGGGTTTTTTTGTTTACCATTTCAAACATTGCCAATAAATCATCATTGTTTTCGAAATGTATCCCATCCAGTTGTACTCCCTCAGCCTGGTATATTTCTAATTCCATTGTAAAGATCTTTTTGTTCATGAAACTTTGAAGTTTTTCGTTCACTAGATTTATACACAATTGTTCAAAGCTATTATTCTGAAGCTTTTCAAAGCCGGCAATATCCAAAATTCCGATGCAAGCAGATAGGTTTGATCTAGAGGCAAAAAGAAGTGTTGACAGTGTTATGTTCGAAAATAAACTTTATGAGTTTTATCACTTCTTCACTAAACTTAAAGTCTTTTAAAAAATATGTATTTCCCATCTAAAACTAACATAAATTGATCTTAGACAATCAAATTAAAACAAAACAAAATGAACCAGTAATTATCTGTCCATAACAAACTAATCCTTACATGTGCCTTTAAGAACTACACTTTTCGTGAATGCATGATATTTTTAAAACAATAGCGTCTTACAGCTGAAAATGGTAAAGCTACGAGATTAATTCCAGGTTTATTTTTGTAGATGAAACCGAAAAGACAAAAGACTTACCCAAGCCTGTTCGGGTGAAGATCTCTGTTTATCATTCTAACCAACCAGCCGAACATTCTTTCATACAACATCTTGGCAAGCGCGTCACGTCCGTCATTTGCTTGTTTTGTTGTTTTATGAGTTGCTATATAGTCACCTAAATTGGAAATAATGTATAACAAAAGTTGCCCGCAAGACTTGACAATTTTCAGTGCTTGGGAGTGGACCTATTGGTAACATAATCTGCATAAGCGTCTATGGATTTCGCGTTGGAATATTAAAAAGGCAACGAGCATGTTCACTTATGTGGAAATAACCTTCGAAACATACAAAATATTCTTTTTTTTCAAATGTCAAACGTTGAAAAGCCGATTAAACGATTTATATTTTAGCGTCTAAACGTCAAGGGCGCTCGTTTCCTTGAGATTAAGGTTGAAGACTTCAATCCACATGTCCCTAACCGTTGAGGGCACGAAACCTCCGTCCAAAGAGGTTTTGGATTCTAAAATGTTAAGAGGCTATCAAACTGCAATTAGAAAAGTCAATGGTTCAACTCATGTGCTCGTGTGCACCTGAGGTCATCCTTCATCAGTAAAACCTAGAGAATCTTAAAAGGGAGCTAGTAAACCTAGAGAGCTTCAATGTGCTAGTGCGAATAAAAACATTCACCTCTAACATATCTTTTACTTGTAATTAGCGCCTCGCCGAACGTGATTTCATCAAGATCTAGCAATTTAGCGGCTGCAAAATAAAAAAGGATTGTTCATAAAAACAGAGGACATTCTCGAACTAATTTATTGTCGTCAACCATTTGTATTTTCAGTCTTATGCTAGTCATAAGACGAAAAGTGTTACAATATACATGCAATAAATTATATCGATTTTTCCTTATATGTTGATTAATGGAATCAGACAAAGACCGTTTAAAGGTCAATGCAGGAAAGAATAAAGTAGTTCAATTTGATTAATTTCCTACAAGAGCTTATCAAATGTTTTACTTTTAACTGTGACTTAGACGAACTTTTGAAAATTAATTTGTAGATTATGTTGGGATAATAGGCTTGAATAGTTACCATGAGCAAATGAAGCAACATCCTTTAATTGTGCAGCCCCTCTGTTGTCTTCTTCAAACTCTATCTCCGAAATAAGTACAACCGCTGCTAACATTCTAATCACAACTTCCTTCTCCTGAAAAAGCGCATTTGTTTAGTATGATAGCATGAATAAAAGGCACTTTCCTGTCATTGTGGTAAATTTTTCGCGTCCAATGATTACGACCTGTAACGGGGCATCTATGCAAGCCGCCATTTCTTTTTTTTCAAATACAGTCACAGTGGCCATGACAAAAATGTACTAAAATGTATATAAATAAGGTTACAATTAAAAATAGGTGGCTCTGACGCGGCATGTGAAATAAAAAAAGACACTTGCAAAAAGTAGTTAATCTAACAATGTATGGCTTCAGAAAAACTTAAAGGGTACAAATGTACATATATATATATACGAGGGATGATCAAAAATAAACCGGACTGTGACTGGCAATTGAAGAATTTTCATCCTATCACTTATTGTTATGTATCCCACTTAACCGGAAAACAATACCTGTAAACTGATACTATATCTAATCTGATAACGCAAATAGCTTGCCCGTAACAGCGAATTCAAAAACCATGGTAACGCACACCCGGCGCAGTGCGTAAATTCGCCTTGACATCAGGCGCTTTATGTTGCGTGTATTTTACAATATAGCACATTTAGATTTCAAAATACGCCAAAACGTCATGTACCATATCTTTGACGGTGTCAGTAAAAATGACTTCATTTAAACCATATTTATATTTACAATCACAATTCAAACGTTACATGTTAATGAAATACTCGCGTTAAAACTATGTCGTCGGAATGTCTCGAAAATCTATCAATAGGAAAAATTTGTCAAATGTAAGACGAGGAACTGTTTAAAACGTAGAAAAAGATTATGGCTATCAAGGGAAAAGTTCGAGAAAGCCACAGCATATTTTATGATTAGCTTAAAGGATTAAGAAAGGATAATAGGGAAATAGAAAACAAGTAAGGGAGAGACAGAAAAAAGACATTTTCAAGGACGTTGGTGACGTCAATCGCCAAGACGTTAAAAAATGACAGTCGATTGACTGCGGACATTGTCAACGATGTTCGACAGTAACTACGGGACGGTGCAGTCAACTCTGAGGATCTTAAAATGATAATAGTTAATGCATTAATTACACGTATTGTATTCTTGGTTTACAATTGTATCAATTATTTTATTATTTTACGCAGTAGTCTTATGGAGAAATTGTGTCAACAATTTAACAGCCACTGTTCAAATTAGCTATGCGTTTTATTGTTTTTTAAATAATGACAATTTTGATCATAGTTGTATTATTCTGTTATTTTTTCATTGTCATTTTCATGATACATTGTCATTCAGCAACATAATTTTACATTAATTGTAATACATAATATAGTTAATTGCATGTGCGATTTTTTCAACAATCAAGTTACAGAAGGAAATAACGGAAGTTTGCGTCATTACAGGAGCTCTTTATCGCCATTCATTCCAGTATTACAATACAATATGATACCCACTAGACAGAAATATATATAGGCAGTGGATTCGCCGCGTCAATAACATGACTGTATTCACGTATTGGCCTACTCGGTGAATGAGTAAAAATCTGCTCCGTTAAGGACATTACGCTTGTGACGTCGTTAACGTCAATTTTAAAGTTATACCGTGCGCCGCATTGCTTAACATGTGCATGCCAATAACAGCATAACTTTTTTCTTTGTTAATATTTCTTGTTGGTATTTTTTGTATCATTTAGGGGATAGATTCCGATTTATTTTCCGTGTATTGTTATGTAAATTCATTTAACAGGTTAAGAATCATTTACAAAGTCCGGTTAATTTTTGATCATCCCTCGTATATATATATTTTACCATACATTTAGCTATCTACATAATAGAAATAGCATCAAAACATGAGGCTAGCTGATTTGTAAAAGGGGGCGTAGCCCCCAAGTATAAATTAGATTGCCGAGTGTTTCCATGTTCTTTCTCTATTGTATCATAGTCAAACATAAAACACGTTCCCTGATACCATAAGATGAAACCCGACAAAAAAGTAACCAATGAACGAGCAACTGAATATGATATTTCAATCGCTATCCATTTCTCTGTCGTCACAAAATGTAATTAATCAATGGTAATGCGGGTAACTAATACCTGCACCGCAGTTAACCCACTGTGCATGTATATGTATACGTTTTAACTACGTCACATTTTCAACAGAAAGGCCCCTAAACTATGATACAAGATTTAAATCGATTTTATCTGTGTGGTTTTTAAGTTATATCTCTATTTGGTGTTTTTTTATTCTGTTCTAACTTCTGCGAGGATTCTATCCATCAAGGAATACATGTGTTTACTTACAACTTCAATTTTTTGCAATATCTCCATACTGTTATCATACATCTTCTTAAACCGTTCTGTTTCACCAAGGTTAGACTGATCGCTCTGCATTATTCTAAATATCAGATAATAAATAAATTGAAATCACAAACGAAAACAATCTAACAACAATCTTACAAGACAATAGACATTTCTATGGAATATTGAAGACAAATTAATAATAATAATATATAACATCGGAAAGAAATTCAGGTGATCGTATATATTCTTTACACAAAAAGACACTTATGTCTTTTTTTAGAAAACTAGTACATCATGCTTATTCGCTGTTCATTTGTTGTTCATTTTTGTTCTTGATTTCTCGCTATATTATGCAAAGGAGGAACATAATATGCAAATTATTAGTATTCAATATGCAAATGATATGACAATATGTAGATGATGTACCAACAGAAATGATAAAACAAGGATAAAACTGACTATATAATGTCTATAAAAGAAACTTTGAAAATACAGAATAAAATAAAACAAACAATCGATCCTCGGAAACAGATTTTACAAATTCATTTATTGTATTTCTGATTCAACCTTCGTATATAACACACCACTCAACCAAACTATGAAAGTTTTTTACCTGTAACTGTCTACAGGGTCATTCAGAAAGAGGTCATCAAGGACTTCTTGCGTGCATCCAGCAAACATTGCGTAGAATATGTGAAAGTTTCCCTCTCCGTTATTTTGATGAACTACCCTGGATTTCTCTAACATGTAGTCTCTAACGACCGCTAATTTGATAGAAAGAAGAATCAAGTGCAATTCCTTTAAGTTTTAAATAATCATCTACCGCACAAATATTGTACTTCATGAAAAGTGAAAATCATTTTACCAATTGACAGTAGCCGTATATATCTTTTAATATATAAACGACACATTCACCTTAGAAAATCGAGGTTTGAAACATTCATTATCAAAAATGTACCATATGGGTAAAAGAATAAAATGATTTACCAATAAGCATATAGATAGCGGTGGAGATAGAGGAGCAAATTCATTTGAATAAAATAGTTCACATATTGTATCAAAATTTCAAAAAGATATTTTAAATTAACCCTATTTTTATCAACCAAAGAATTTTTCTACTGACAAAGATCAGCAAGGCAAGAGAACGCAGCCCCCGACACAACCCAATCACACTGGCCGGGTTCCCGGAAGAGCACTGAACCAATAAAAGACAGTAGTCATAAGTGCGGAAAAGGAAGTGGAGGGACCAAATATATCAATTATGTCACAATAATTATAAATGACACCAAAATGAAAATAACATATATTGTAATTATCACCTCCTGCGAGTTCTCCACCTTCTTTGAAGCTGATTTCCAGGTATTTAGCGTATCTACTGGAGTTGTCGTTCATTATTGTTTTGGCATTTCCAAAAGCCTCCAATAGAGGGTTGATCTAAAAATATAATTGAAGTGCTAAGATTTATACCTTTATCTAGCAAGTTTAATTAGTTTACAATGGTACCTAATCGAGATGTTGGATTTTGATACTTTTGATGTTACTGGTCGAGTCACATTCCTACCGCATTTTCCAACTTCAAGCAATTAATTCAATTGAATATCAAATATTGTTGCTGTTTAATTTCTTTCTTTTCTTTCTGTAATAGTGGTTTTTCATGCATTTTGATCATTATTATATGTAACATCCTTTTGAGTATGCTGCAATATGAATTTATATCCACCCATTCCCCTCAATGATGTAGTTTCGAATTATGCCAGATACTTTTGGTTCTTTCATGTGAAGAAACTGTTCAGCCAGCTCTCACAATCAGTTCACCTTGTAAGTCATTATTAGAGCTTTAATATGTTTGTGCGACGTAAAACACAAGTCGAAGCAAAAGAATAAAATTATAAAGAAAATAATCCATGCTCACAGACCAGAACATTTCTGTATATGTACCTTGACGATTTTTTCATGTAAGACCATATCTCCTGTCTGACACATATGTACCATATGTTTGACCATATATTTTGTGCTCTCTGTCTTGCCGGCGCCACTTTCTCCAGAAACAATGATGACCTATATTTATGTATACAGGAAGCACATTTATAAGGAAACAAATTTCATAATGCAAATTAATTTTTATACTAATTAAATAACACCTTTTTGTATCTTACAGAAGTAGAGCTACCGAATCGTAGTTAGTAAATAGATAATAGAAGTTCTGGTTAAACTTTTTACCACATTTCATGTTACACAATGGAAAGTATTGCCTCAATGGATCCGGCAAATATTTGGCTGAAAAACAGTTTATATTTAATAATCAAATATTAACAAAAAAGCATGTCATAATTTAAGCCACGGGCGCTGCCATTAGTTGATAATGTTATCACACCCTGTTGAGAAGGTAGGTGTCTTGATAATGTTTTATATTGTAAATATTCAGCATTAGACATAAAATCATATCCTTTTTTTTCATTTTTACATAGGGTTTTATTTTCTTACATATCTTTTTGATAACATAATGGCAATTGAATACCTGATTCGTGTCATTTTCACGCATGCGTCTGTATGCTGTTGCGGCGACTTGAAAAATATGCGGCTCTAAATCTGTTCCGAATTTGTCAGCATTGTATTTATCATGGATCTATTGAAAAAAAGTGCAAATTGTTTATTTTTCCGCACGGCTTATTTATAATTAATATTGTTAACAGTAAATTGCTTAAATTGGTTGTTTATTTATAATTCATTGGCCTTGTCAACATAGACCGGAGAACTATGGTTATCACATGTCCTGAAAAAGAATGGACACTTATTGAGTTTGTTGTTGTTGATCTTTTTCTTGTCAAAGGGACGAATGATAATGAATTTTTGTCACTGTTAAGCTTTTCAGACACGTTTTACATGAATGCATGATAGTAAACACAGTATTTAAACAAAATCACTACATCCTGTCTTAGGAGTCAAAACATCTTAATCACGGTGCGTAATCGTTTCGGGCTGATTTGGAATATTTAACCGTTCCTCAACTGATTTGGATTTTTTCACCAGATTGATTCACATAAAATTTATTTTGAGCTTGACAAGGTACGAAAATATATATAATTAACACATTAACAACTGCAAGTCTTCGAATATTCTACTCGCACGGAGCATTGCAATGTTTAAGGAATTCATAAACAACTTTATAAGGTTTGTTAACGGTTTTTAATCAGTTGGAATCGAAAACAGATTTCACATGTCAGAAAAGTAGTACACATTAGCATACAATTGCCAAAAAGTCATTATTATCTTTGATTTTTTCAGGGATTTCAGGATCATATATAATTTTAGAAAAAAATCATTCCGCGATAATTTAAGTGGTTTAAGTAAAATGTTTTGTCCAGTAATGAATTTGTAGCACGTACTTTTATGACAACCTCGTAAATTATTTTAGGGCACCGGATTGATTCATATCAAGGAAAATTAAGGAAAAACAGGGCAAAGGGCTGATTGTAGGCTTACGTCTTACAAATTCATTACCGGAGAATTATTTTAATAAAACCATTTAATTATTGCGGAATGATTTTTTCTATAATAATTATGATCATGAAATACCTGAAAGAAATAAAGATAATAATGACTTTTTTGGCAGGTTTATCCTAATTTTTACTACTACTTCACTGACATGGGAAATTTGTTTTTCGATTCCAACTGATAAAAGACCGTTAACAAATCTTGTATAGTTGTATATGAATTCCTTAAACAAAGCAGTGTTCCGTGCAAGTAGAATATTCAAAGACTAACAGTTGTAAATATGTTTATTTTACATATTTTCGTACCTTGTCAAGCTCAAATCTAATTTATCTGAATCAATCCGTTGAAAAAAATCCAAATCAGTTCAGGAACGGGGAAATATTCCAAATTAGCCCGAAACGATTTCGCACCGTGTAAATGTGTAGCTTTCTTGCAATTTCAAGCACATATTACTTCCGAGCATTGTTCCTTTCTTGGAAGCTTATTATTTCATTTGAACATTTTTGTTATTGCAGGAGGCAATCTTGTTTATTTACTCGGGTTGCTTTAATATAATAACACAGTGGGTCAACGGAATTACTGTATCATATCTTGCAAACTTATACAACTCAGTGTGTGCCGTGTCTTCCTGCTATTTCCGATCACTGTACCTTTCGGATGACTTATAGTATTTGTCATATGTTGCGGTTCAGATCGAAATATATGACCCAGTGGGCGGTAACGCGGCTTCCGATATAAACCGCAAACATTTATCAGATATTAATCTTGCATATTCTATCATATTCCAACATACATTGAATTATTTTATTAACTTAAAAAAAAACAATTTTTCATGGAAATTTATGTCATTACATTCGTAACTATATGGATATTCTAAATTCTTACCAAAGCGTATAAAATACGACTTCATACATAATGGCGAAATTACGTCATCCTAAGCATGCCATTGTATTGCACGCGACTTATCTGGCACCATTTTTGCTGAAAAATGTGTCAGAGTCAAATCGTATACATATACATGCATAGTGCGTTAACTGGAATGCAGGAATTACATGTAGTTACCCGCACTCCATAGCATACCCATCGATTGGCTCATTTTTCCTGGGTTTAACTATTGTGACGGCAGAGAAATGGAAAGTGATTGAAATTTCATATTCAGATGCTCGTTCATTGGTAACCTTTTTCTGGGGATTCATATTGTGACAACAGGGAATGTGTTTTTTATGTTTTACTATGATACAAAAGAGAAAGAACATCAACATTCTCGGCAATCTGATAAATACGTGGGGTTACGCCCCCTCGTACAAATTAGATAGCCTAGTGATTCTACTAAGTAAGTAATCATTCAAATATTGTATGTTCTATTGATTGGTAAATTGAGAACATAACTTATGTACCTGAGAAATTGATAAATGACATCAAAGTGGTGTTAATATCTTAAAACAGTTCACTATTGTTGTTTAATATATGAGATATGAAGAATTGCATTTATTGTATGTATTGATGTATCTGTTAGCCAGGTGTTTCAGTTATAAGATACAATTCAATTTTTTTTTTCAATAAATGTGACATTATAAACTGAAGAAAACGGACCAATCCCCTGGAGCATTTTTACATGTTAACAATTCTTGTCGAATTAAAGGAATATTTGACTATACTGTACACGAAATTGGTGTATCCCTAAAAAATGATGTACACTTTAAAATGATTGTTTAGATCTTTATCATTAACATTTTTTATCATTTTCCTCATTTTGTATATAAGGCAAGCAAACGTAATCTGAAACCCGAGACGAGGTCAAGATTCGATTTTATCTTAATATAAATAAAGGATATATATAGATATAAACTATGTTTCCTTACTTCATGTGGTAAATCTTTTTTTTTTCTGAAATTAAATGTACATTTGTACAACCTTCGCACGGATTGGTGTAGACCGTTTATATATGAAAAGTGTAAATATAAAGTCACACTATCATGTTTTCTTAAACACTATTGATAAAAAATGGGTCAAAGACAGAAAAGGCCGGGTTGCATATGTATATAAAATATCATGAAGCTGTGAATTGTTACTTAAATTTTCTACCACTGACCATAGATGTTGAAAATTTAACTAAGTCATTAATCCGGAAATGGATGAGCAACAGACCTGAAATGGAATCCCACAATATGGGACCACATGTCAATGCTGTGAACCAAATATCAAGAGGCTGTGGTAAGTAGTTGCTGAGAAAACTGTTACGAAAATTTCAAACCATTGACCATTTATGTCGAAAATTTAACTCAGTCGGCAAGCAGGAAGTGGATGAGCTACAGACATGAAATGAAATCCCACGGTATGGGACTATGTGTTAAACCTGAATACCAAATATCAAAAAGCTGTGGTAAGTAGTTGTTGAGAAAACTGTTACGGAAATTTCCTACCATTGACCATTTATGTCGAAAATTTAACTAAGTTGACAAACAGGAAGTGGATGAGACACAGACCTGAAATTGAATCCCACATTATGGGACTACATGTTTATGCTGTATGCCAAATATAAAGAGTCTGTGATAAGTGGTTGCTGAGAAAACTGTTACGAAAATTTTCTACCATTGACCATTTATGTCGAAAATTTAACTAAGTCGGCAAACAGGAAGTGGATGAGGGACAGACCTGAAATGAAATCCCACGGTATGGGACTATGTGTTAATGATGTATACTAAATATCAAAAGGCTGTGATAAGTAGTTGCTCAGAAAACTGTTAAGAAAATTTCCTACTATTGACCAATAATGTCGAAAATTTAAATAAGTCGGCAAACAGGAAGTGGATGAGCGACAGACCTGAAATTGAATCCCACATTATTGGACAGACCACATGTTAATGCTGTATGCCAAATATCAAGAGGCTGTAAGTAGCTGCTGAGAAAACTGTTACGAAAAAATTTTCCCGCCCGCCCCAAACATTCACCATACTATAACACTGGTTTGCACCTGTGCAACTAAGCCAAATAATCGATATTTTTGCATTTAAATCAAAACCTTTTAAAGATCCTGTAACGCATTTTTTCATAGTTTTATTTCATAAATATGATGCTCAAATTAAGATTTGTCAATATTGTAAGTTCCAGTAATCATTATTTATAAAGATATTACCGAATTTAACTTATCATGTTAATTTAGGAAGGTAATTAGAAATTTATTTTCTATAAATTCTACGTCAAATTTTCCAATAACAAATGAATATATATAATGTATTGATTAAATATTATGTGTACAAATATTTGCAGTACACATTTTACATATTTTCGATGTTTGAAAATTGTTTTATTTGCATAATTATATAATACATATATAATTTTTTGCAAGTGTGGTATACACACACTTACAATATCAATCACAAAACATACAGGATCTAGCCTTACCTTGCTGCAAACGGAAGTGATTACCTTTTGCTACAGTTATTTGATTCCAGGCCACTCCATAATTCTGTTTAGTCTGACCAAGCACTTTACTGATGGTTAACTTTAAATTTTTACCTTGATATCCCCAAAATTGTACAGTTACGAAAATAAAAGACTGGACCAATCGTAACGTTTCGGTCCTTGCCATTTAGTCTTTGGATTAGGACCTCGAACACAATAGTAAGATATTCAGAACGGAAAAGTTATTCCGGTGTTTTGTATTCCACGTAAAACCACGTGGTAAAACTTCTTTCAGTCCGTTCTCCTTTCGAGGTGATTATTGATAATAGCCGAGATGTTCCGATTGAGAATGGGCAAGTCCATTAAAAAAATCAACAGGGTAATGGTTAAAATTGCGGTAAAAAAATTATTCATTACATACCTTATCGTCATAAATCTTGAGCTGCTTGCGGGGGTTGACAGCAATTAATATGTCACTTATGTTTGTCTGAAAGAAGAAATGCAACAAGGTTAAAGGTCAACAGAAAGGTCAGCAGCGTTCTTTATTTTTGAGCTACTTGTATATATATTCCATTTTTAACGTTAAAAGATTTCAAAATATTTGGCAAAATGAAATTTTGATTTTGTATAGTAAGAACAAGAGGGTCAATACACTACAGTGTCGTCTGTAAAAAACCAAATCTATTAAAGTCTTCTGACTCTAATAAAATATAAGGGTTACACTTAAGAACGGGTATCAAATATTTATAGTTTGTCAAGGGTTTCTAAATACTCATTACAAAATTGATAGAAATATCGACATCTAATTTTGGGAGTGTAATCAAAACACCGTGCAATTTAGAAGAAAAACATAATCAATAGACTTGCAAAGTTACCAAACATCACCTTACATGATATGTTTAAGTCGAACACGATAACGTTTACGTAATAAAATATAAGGGTTACATTTAAGAACGGGTACAATGTATCAAATATTTATAGTTTGTCAAGCGTTTCTAAATACTCATTACAAAATTGACAGAAATATCGACATCTAATTTTGGGAGTGTAATCAAAACACCGTGCAATTTAGAAGAAAAACATAATCAGTTGATCTTCAAAGTTACCAAACATCACCTTACATGATATGTTTTAGTCGAACACGATAACGTTTAAATTATTTGTTGCATTACAGATTAATTAGTCATACATAAGTTATGTAAATGAATAATTATCACAGTTTTACAATATATTTTATTTATAATGTGAACTTGAACATGACAATGATTTATGTATGTTATCTTACAATATACATGCAAACTGTATGGGTGGTAATATTATATGTCAAGAATGATTAATAACAGTTCTACGTGTAACTCTTAACGCGTGCATGTATATGAATTATAAGTTGTCACTATTACAGGTTGTCATTATATATAGCAGTCTAAAAGCCCAGTCTGGAGAGTTCGAATTGGGGAGTTGACCAGAGCAGTTATATAAATTACAGTATTAAAATGTGAAAGTCAGTTTTGCGTTTCTTAATCATTCACTTACGCTCCCTTCGTAGCTCACTGAATACACTCACGTTACATCAGAAGTGAGCGGTAGTGGAACATTCGACCGATGCACAGGAGAGTATCATTCACTATACTACAAATTCGGTTATTCGGTCATACCATTATGATATAACGTGTTGTACAGGTTATTCAGTTATTTGTGTTTACTATTTTTTTGTCCATGGGCCCGGATTCGATCATTTAATCCTTTCGATTTACAGCTAAAGTCAAGAACTCCTTTCGATTTCTATATTAGTTTCCCCTTCGGTGATTCGCAACATGTCATATTAATGAATGAGAACCGGAAAGCAGTTCTGCTGTACATGAATTTGAAAGCTATAAATAGCTATAAATGTTCTGATTTTTGACACTTAGGTTAAACATTTGTCATTTCCCTTTTTAGTAGTACATGAAATTGTAATTTCTTACATTTTGAATTACATTTACACACAGCATATCAAGTATACTATTAGTGATTGAATTTGTCAATATAAGGAAGATTTCAGGAATAAAACTTTAATAATTTTGCTTTTGATAATTATTCTTAATTTATATTTATGAAATGTTTAATAATAACATGTTGATATATTGGTTGTTTTGAAATAATTAAACTTTAGTATATAAGGTTACATTTAATTGGCATCATTGATACAGCATACTACTTTGTGCTTCAAAATTTACTGATGAAGGGTATGACTGGAGACCAGAGCTGCAGTACTGGTACTGCAATATGTACTGCAGCGATTTTGCAATTACTGATACTGAATTACTCGTCCAAAATTTTGGTAATACTGGTACTGCATTACTATCTTAAAACGTGGTACTGCAACTGCATTACTAGGCAGCACTGTTGGTTTTGATAAAAAATAGCATCAATTCTTTTTCATAAAATAAAGCTGTAAATTACATTATTTTATTTTTGTGAAAAAGTAAGTTATCAAATCTATAGATAATTTGCTACCATACTCCTTCTAATGTTATCATAGTACTCATCATAAAAAAAGCACCAAAGACTTTAAGTGAAAATTAAATTGAGATATACAGACTCAGTAACTCTTTACCCTAAAATATCCTTATCAAAATCTTTTATTACTTTTTATTTACTAGTAAAAGAGCAAAATAATCACTTAATTGCTGCTATTCTAAATAATCCTATTTCAAGTGATATTGTTAGCACCATAAAAAGTTGTTATTTACTTTGGTATAAAGGCAACAAAAGACTGTTGTGTTTTAAATGAAAGATGATTGCATTGTATTACAGTTGACTGGTTACTAAACAATAAGATATGACATGAATATATGTTGTAAATATTGCTTGTAAAAAGTGTGTTAAAACTATAAAGTTGAAAAAATGTTACTTGACGGTACTGCAGTACTGAGCTAAAATCAAGTACTGTTAATGGTACTGCATAATTTGCCAAGTACTGGTACTGGTACTTAAGTACTACACCCTTAGTACTGATGCAGCTCTGCTGGTGAAATGTCCGGGGTCCGTACTCGACAGCGAAACCTGCATTTTGTTGCCTTACGAGCGGATGGACCCTCGTTAAGTATAGGCTATAGATATATAGCATCATCGATAACAACAGAAACCATGATCTGCATTTTGAACATGAAGTGTAATGTTTTTTATGAATGGTTTTAAAGCAATTCAACAAAGAAGTATATTGATATCGCAATAAATCAATTAACAAAAGATGTGTTTATATATACCACCAATGTCAAATAGCTTTTATATCTTGGACTTGCACGAACATGATGTTAGTGAATTTCCTCATACCTGCCTAAATTTCAGGTAACAGTCTTCTATTATATTAATAAATATTGTATCACCATATATCGCGTGTATAACAAAAAAAAATTCCCAAATTTGGTCTTTTTGAAATCCATCCCATTTTTTCATTCAAGAGTGTGTTCTACTTTCAGTATTGAAAGAAACCATTTTTTTCTTAATTTGACATGAAAAAATGCATGTAATATTATTATACTATAATATTAGTCCCTTTTGTTACTTTTGTTACTATTTGTATATTTGTTACAATTATAAAAATAAAAAAACAGACTTTGATATTTTTATAATCTTATGTTACTGACTACAGTAGTGACACAAACAGAACATAGTACAGTCTTTTCACATAACATTTACAAGTCTTGTAAGTCTTGTTTGTATTCAATGGAATTACTTTTCTTACCAGGTAGGCATCAGTGAACGCATTTTTTTATATTAAATATCTTTCCCCTCTTTTTAATTATGGACAGTGCATAAGATAAGTATAATTATGCAAACAAATGGTTTACAAAACATTCGGAAAAAATCTACAATAGTACTTAATCTGAATATAACATGACCCGTGCGTAGGAATAATTTGGTAAGGTATCTGTAATTAGCGCATTTTTTTGCGCGGAGATTCTCAATTGCTGCATTGCAGCAACATTTGTACTAGTTATATTTTGTATTTTATTAATAAACTATGTATGAACTAGCAAAATGGCTAAACAATTCATGTTATAAAGCGCTTAGTTAAAAACCATGGATTTTAGTTCAAATCTGCAATTGTTTTAAGTTTGGTTTTTATTTTTAAAATATATATCTATAGTTTGTCACATAAGTTTTGATTTTCTGGTTTTTGAACCTGTAAGTAAATAGAAGTTTTGCACATTTGAGAATGAAAACGTTTTAGCAAAATTGAATGATTTGATTTTTAAAAGTCACTGTACGGATTGTATTGTATTATTAATGTTATTATAATTGAAATTCTGAATTCCATTTGCCCAATTTTTATCAATTTCGGCTCATTTGTATACATCTATTTTCTTCTTTAATTGCTATTTATTCGGTCATTTATCTCTTTTATCGACTTGTTAACTTTAACTCAGTCCGTTGAATGCAAATCTGTGTAAAACTTAATTTTCTCAAAACAGCATTTTGTGTATTAAAATCACGATGAACTGAGATCCTGTTTATTGACAATATTTCTCAACAAACAATAAAAAAGGGAAATAAAACATGTCATTTCCAGGATTCGAAACAGTATCTCTACACTCACGGAGCGAACAATCTAACAATTCGCTATTTCGCTGAACGGATAAAAATGAGTTATTGTGAAGGTGGTGAAGCATTGTGACAATAAATAGTATGCTTTTACATATGAGTTATCGACACCCCTATTTGTCAATATTGATGTAAACAGATAATGAAAGGAAAAGCGAAAATTCGAGCTGTATATAGGTATCAAAATATGTAGATAAGAGTTTATTAAAACAAATTGAATTTTACAAAGCCATGCAATCCTATAGATTTGCAAGGGTAAAAAATAACACCTTATGTTAATTTCAGCGGAATCAGATTCTATAGCTATGCGAGTGTTACTAAAGAACCATGAAATTTACAGACACTTCAAAATTTATAGTTTTGCCGGGGTTATCAAAGCACCATGAAATTTACAGACACGTCAAAATTTATAGTTTTGCCAGGGTTATCAAAGCACTATGAAATTTACAGACGTGATAAAATCAATAGTGTTGCCATGTGTATCAAGGCACCATGAAATTTACAGAAGTGATAAAACCAATAGTTTTGCGGTGTGTATCAAAGCACTATGAAATTTACAGACGCGACAAAATCAATCAATAGTTTTCAGGATGTATCAAAGCACAATCAAATATTCAAGGGAATCAAAATCAATGGATTTGCAAGGGTACCAAACAATAACCAAATCAAGAACTGATAGGGGTATTCATATATACATTTCAAAACAATGTGAAATTTACAGAAGTATCAAAATCTACAGTTTTTCTTCGGTAATCAAAACAATCAAAAGCTACAGTTAAAGGGGGTGTTGGAAAAAAAAGTAAAATGACTTGCTGCTGCATACCATGACATTTGTCATTAAATAGTATATGGCAAAGATACTTGTTAAATAAGAACAATGATAATATCAATGACCTATTTACTGCTGAGAAACTGAAATTTTTATTAAGGAAACGTTCAGTTACTCTAAGATCATCCATTTAAGTAACCTGTTACTCGTGGAAAGAACAATTATTATTCCTAATTCAGTTTGATGACTTACTGATGACAATAATGCTAATATTTCGTTGAACACAAAGTTTATATATCTTTTCCGATTTTTCTCTACATGTACTTTATTTACAATAGATAAAAAAGACAAAAGTGCTGTCTCTTATTGTGATATACCACTCGACTGATACCGGTATTTGCTATCACAGCTTTCCTTACATGCATGGCTGCAGAAAAAAAATAATCGTGCCAAAAATATATAACTTTGAGAAAACAATACGATACGATACATTATGAATTTTTCATGCAATTTGAGAACTCTCCTAAACGTCTAAATGTACGGGTATATACAAAACCTTAATTATTTCTGATTTAAATAATTTTCTTTTTGGCAAAGATCCAATAGAGTTATATCTTTTTAAGAAATCAGGTTTTAATTATGAGTTCAATACACAATGCCGTTTAAACTATACAGTTATTCAAACTTACTAGTGCGGTAATAGAGCGTTTCAAAGCTCTTTTATGGCATTATAACTGATACGGTTCTTCATTTTTTTATGAATTGACTGTAGACAATCAAACAATAGTAAAAACACTTATATAAAACAATAGAGGCGCTCGTATGAAACGGCATGCATTAAACGACACATCATTAAACACAAAATTTAATGACCTCAAATAAACGCTCTTGTGCTGAATAAGATATTGATGTCAATGAGCATTGTCGCTTTTTTGCAATTTGTATACGTTTCAATTCTTATTTACAGTTAAACATAAGGTTATCCATTTGATCTGACTGATGACTCGTGCAATGAATCCTTTTCTTTACATACATTAATACCTTATACCTTATAACTTTAGTTATATCAGATTTCTCACATGAATGTTTTATTTTTTTAATTTTAAACAAATGTCAGTTCAATCTTGTGTTTTATTTCAATGTCATTTACACTTTTTGTTTAAGTTTTATTTGCTAATTTAGCAAAAAGACTTGCTGTGTAGTTAAAAGAAATTTTGGTTTTACGAGTTATTCCGGGGTTACAAACAATTCTTTTATAGTTATATCTTTAAGTATCAAAAGAACGGACTGTTTGATTTATTGTGAACGGCAGTGCAGTGGTTTGTTTGTTCCGTGGTATAAGCTTGGAAAAGAGACAAGTGATGTTAGCTTCGCATACTTTTGAATTTTATCATTATTGAAAAATTAGGATATTCATTGAATACTTGTCGAGCATACACATATAACATGTTTACAATGTCTCACTTAAACAGATTTACTTTTTTAAAAAGTGCAAATCAATTTAAATATGAAACTTAAATCAACGCTTGGCATCATACATGTATGTATTCAGTCATTATTCTAAATACATTGTAATCAGTGTGAAAAAGGACATACAAACTCTGTGTAAATAGAATAAATCTCACACATGGCATTGTGACACTCTTTTCGAGATCAAAAAGAGTGGTAAATAACTTTCTTTATTATTGTTTTTTATTTTATTCTTAGAGGATATTTACTGGATATGTTTGAAAGTAGAAATTGTGCATCGTAATAAAAAGGACAGCTTAGAGAGGGAGGGTTTGGCAAAAACTATAAAACTATAATGTAATCAATCTTATTCAAAAGTGCCAAATCCAGCCACAGCTCAGCAATTCAACCTATTCATTATAAATAGATATGCTATTTGTTTCAAGTATATATAAACTTTTGAACATAACGAATTGGGGAAAAATTAACTAAAATAAAAGGAAATTTTGTACTTTTCTAATATACCACTATATATCACCTCTCTCTTATATTTTTTTTTTGACTGACAAGTCATTTACATGAAAGTTTAAGCTCAAGTGTACTCACGTAAATAAGGTCACGATCATATCTCGCCTTCAGACATCTTTGGATGCTTTCAATAGACAAATCGTCCATGCGAGACAGATCATGTTGAAGCATCTCTGTCATCTCCATTCTGATTGGTCAGTTTTTTGGATTGGTTCGAACAGACAACTTTGTGCGATTGACTAATACATGTTTGTGTTCTGTGTATTACGAAGCTGAAATAAATAGAAACGAATGTTAATTTCCTGAAATATTTTGTAATAGTTCAAAAATGAATGGAATTGTTCTTAAGTATTTTATATATTCTCAGTATATATGCTCAATTTAATTTAATTTTAGGTTTGTCTAAGTTTAAAAAAGCCTGATTACCTTAAATACAAGCTAATGCACTTCAAATAAGATTGTGCTTATTCATATTTTGTGATTTTTTTATTCGGATTTTGTTTGATATATAACCACAACATTGTTAAATGAATATATATGTATATATTTGTGCCTTTCTTGTTTAACACAATGTCCACAATGCGTTGTATCGCAATGACTACTTACATATTTTAACCAAATACTACTCTGATTATAATGATTTCCAAGTAGACGACTCTTGATGTTTACAATAATATGACTTTTTATAGTTCCTCGGCCTGTATCATATCTATTCATACAATCTGTAAAATATTTAAGGGAATGTCTCGATTGGTCTGTTTAACAAAAAAGAGAAAATATTACAATTTCTCTACAGCCTAGATAGTAATAATTCACAAATATCTTTCACCCATTCAACTTTTATAGAAAAACTGTTTGTTAAGACAAATAAAAATTAGTGTTAAAAGTTTCGGGTATTCGAGTTATTGTGTTCAATTTACTTAAGTCGATAAGTAGCACGATTTTTTGCTATAAAAACCGTCTATAGACGCTTTGTTTTTAATTCTTGGTAAAAATCATACAGATTCAATCCAGGCGACCAGTGCAGACCAAGATCACACGGCAAGGTCATGCTCGTCCTCTGATAGTGTTCTGTAATGGTCGCTATTCAGTCCGTACAAAATCTTGAAAAAAAATCCCCAAAAATGGTGTAATATTTGTGTCGAGACAAGTCTTTTTGCTGAAATTTTGAAGTTGTAGGGTAATGAAGAACATTGTACATAAAGTTTTATTCTTTATGTAGATCTTTCCAAAATAAAACTGCGTCGCATTATTTTATAAACATTATTTTATACGCTACTTTATTACAAGGTAAAATGTTTTGTTGGTACTGAACAAAGTGAAACTGTTAATGAATTGATTCTGGTTTTCTTGCGCATATTGTTTCTTTAATGTTATAGAGTTTATATAACTTTAACAACAGAAATATGTAAAACTATAGTTTACATTAATAAATAATTCAGACACAGCACGTGTTTAATTTAGAAGTTGTATATATACATGAAATTACCTGCTCCAGTCCAATTGAATCACAATTTCTTGTCAATTAAAATTACCTGCCACAGTCCAATACCTTGTCAATTAAAGTTGTTTTAATCATTTGTTTTAACTTCCAGTCCTACTTATATTCAAAATCAATTAAGTCAGAGTGGTGTATTTCGTCAGGTGTGGCGTAGGAATGCGTAAACTATCCCGCAAACCAAGGTAGATATTCTTTTCAACGAATAACGCACCCATTCAATACCGTAAGAGGAAGTACATATTATTGGTGGTTCATTCGCCAGGGACTTCTGTCTTTTGTATAATGTAGTTTCAAATTTTTTTATGAAAATAAAATACCCGTTCGAAGAGTATTATCTTTTAAAATAACCTTAAATAACAATAGGAAGCATTCGCATATTTTGCCATTGACACAACTTTTAACGCTTCATGGCACCCATTCAGCACACCTTATTTGAGATCCTATTGTCTTTTGTATAATATAGTTTCAAATTCCTGTAATTGAACAGGTTCTTGTTGCTGGGTCGCGTGGGGTAGCGTCATTGAACGCGGCTTTTCCTTGTTGATCTTGTTTATCATATCTTAGAGCATGTCAGATGTTTATCATCATGAGAAATGAGCACTTATGTGAAATTATTTGTCAAAAAAATAGCAAAATGTAACAAAGAAGTACGTTGAATTTCATACTCAATAACAAAACCCTATAATTGACCTAATAACCAGAATGCCACAGAAACAAAAGACGGTTCAGCTAATTAGCCAGTAAGTAACGTTTTAGGAAATTTAACAGTGCGGCAAAAAGACAAAATAAAAATAAAATCAGAAACAAAATATGCGTGGAACATTATGAACCTTTAACAAAACACCTTTACATGGTCAAGACTGTAAGTCATTCTACACTAAAATCATTACCATTGATAATGCTGCAGGATCGAACCTGCAATAATTTCGTTTGTAAACCGACAATGATGGCGTTCCAAATTATGACGCTCTCAGGAAACCAAAGAAGTGATGTAATGTTAATACTACTTTTAATGCAATAACAAGGGATCAAAACTCAGCTTAAAAGTTAACACCATGCCATCATGCAGAGATACCGCTTCATATCCAGCCACTCTTAGGAAAATGAGTAAATCTGTGAAATGATTATAACATTTACATTCTATCAGGAGCTGAAGAATAGGACAATGTATGCGATTTGGCAGGACTTCAATTCATTATATATTAATACGCATTTGTAAAGATTTGAATTTAATCTAATCTATAATCTAATGTTTTAAGAGATGTTGGTGGTGTTTTTACAGTAAAACCATCGGATTACGGCAGTAAGCTGCTTTGAATGTACCAGAATGTACAGTTTAGTCACCGTATCGTTCCTGCATCGAACCCGTGTCACCCGATTTACAGTCCAACGCTGTAACATTTGACAGAGCTAAGGATATATAGTGCACAAATATTGACGTGACAATATTTAGGTTACACGACATAGCGTATAGACGGGCTAAATGTTAGTGTTACATTATTAGCGCGTCAATGAAAATGTGTCTCTTTTTTACAGCAAAATTTCTAAAAAATATCTAACTGCATGTATGTCTTTCAAGTTAAAGTAATTGCATATGATATACATTAAATTAACATAATTGTATTTTTGTAACTTATATTAAGTTTGATGCACCGCTATTTTTTGTATTTTTACTGGTAGAACTTCTAAATATGTAATCTTATGTAATATTCAAATCAGGCAAGACGGTCAGCTTACAAGAACGAAACGTTTAACATGGATCTGTGATATAAAAATTTATTTAAACAGTTATCTGTAATTCTAGCATTTGTAAAATTAATGTCAATAAGAGGAAATTGATATCAATGTATAATATTGTATTGTTCATACCTTATATGACTGCGTCGGAAAGATATATGGACTTACATACGTTACCTATTTAAAGATATACTATGCTCATCCTTGCGTAAAATATGTATAACAAGCGCACGCTCATGATAAAACGAAATGACGTTTGTGACGTCGGAATTTAAATGAAAATATTAACCAGCGTCATTGTTTCTGAAATATCATTTTCGAGTGTTCTATGTCTCCGCATCATACAATCATAACCAGTTTTCTGTGTGTTATAATGAAGAGAGAATGAATCGAAAGCGGGCACCTTTACCGCTCCATTCTCTGTATATGAAATTCTTACCGAATATGTCCAATTTGAATAAAAGAATGAATAAATAAATTTTGTATTTGAACTGCGTTCCCTATTACAGGGCACCTAAAAATAGTATTTTCTTGAAAAAAAAAACTGCCAGTTTTTTAAATGGCACTATATGTTCATTTTGTAATGCAGGCGTCAAACTTTCTCGAAATTGACTCCAGATGGGCATACGAATATGGAATTTTTAATTTCGTGCGAAGATAGCGCCGAAATTGATCGACAGTCTCTGAACAGCCTAAACAAGTACGATTCCTACAGAAGGTCACGCGATCGTATCCGAGCCACACACGATTCCTACCGAAGGTCACGCGATGGCATCCGATACACACACGAAGTAACTTTAAAGACGCAATTTTGTACAAAGTAGTTTACCAGCAGGACACGCGAAGGTCAAAGGATAGGTACACGACGTCGTATTTTGAGTACGATGCCTTCGTACGTGGTTACGAAGGCATCAAGTGACCTTCACCTCCGGGTGGTATACAACCAACGGCCAACCGCGGCAAATTTCAGTTGCAGATAGTATTGGGAGCTGATTAAACTACGTTTAAACTTTATTCTGGCTCTTCATTTTACAATCAAAAACAATTATATTCCAACAAAAATCTATAATAAAAGTGATGACTTTGATTATGGTATAGTAAACTACCCACATTTAGATGCAGACGTACCGCATGCAACATCTGACGGGGTATATGTATCTCAATAAATAAGATTCGCTAGAGCTTTTAGCAGCGTGAAAGATTTTAACAAGAAAACTGTTTTCATTACTAGCAAGCTACTTAAACAGGGCTACCGCTTTTATAAATTTTGTAATTTCTTTCTTTGTGATGCCAGCGCTATTAAGTGTTGAGAATTGAGTACCGCTCAAGCCAGTGCTAGGGGGCGTGAGGGGTGTTGCAAGTATTCATAATCCATCAGGTACAAACTCAATCAAACCGAGTTTGCAATTCTCTTGTTATTTTCTTGTGATTAATACTTCCGAGGGATCAATTTGTTTCCAGATTTTCATACTTCACAACAGCAAGTGTCAAGTGCTGTGTGGCAGCTGTAAAAAATTGCCCCGTACTGTTATATTTGTCTGGTCCTTCGGGATCATTGATGCCAGCACTATTATGTGATGAGAATTGAGTACCGCTCTTGAGTACCGCTCAAGCCGGTGCTAGGGGTCGTGAGGGATGTTGCACGTATTCATTATTCCTCATGTACAGACTCAATCAAACCGAGTCTGCAATTCTCTTGTAATTTTGTTGTGATAATGCTTCCGAGGGATCTCTTTGTTTTCAGATTTTTATGTATTATTTAAGTGATAAGCTTATCCGTGCTCTACCTTGAACCCTGTCAGTTTTTCTGGGGGTCCACTTGTGTAACTTGGTTCTTGTTGCTGGTCGTGTGGGGGTTCCGTTTATTGAACGCTGCCTTTCCTTGTTGACCTTTGTTTATCATATTTGATAAAACTTTATCATGCCACCAAATGTTGGCCTGTGGGCCTCCTCATGTTTTCAAAGGTGTCTTAATTTACCGCCTCCGTGGTCGAGGGGTTAGAGTCAATGACTTGTAATCCAGTTACCTCTCTCGCGTGGGTTCGATCCCCGGGAGATGCTTTGGTAGCTAAGCATGGAGGAAGGTTGTCTAGTACTGGTGTAACTCTCAAGGAACGATAGTTAGGAAACTACCCGCCTATATGACTGAAATACTGTTGGGAAAAGGTAAAATGAAACGAACAAACAAAAGTAGCAATGCTGCTGCCTTTTTTTTTTCTCGTTTGACTCATCGTCAAAGCATGTTATTCTGCAGAAAATAAACTGAAAATGATGATAATTTTATAGCAAATAATGGAAGCTTATGATGTCTCTGTAGAGATTTGCAAAAGTGACAGATGAGTAAGATGGTCTAGCCGTTTATATGTCCACCATGATAAACATGCAACGTTTGAGCAACTAAAAATTGTTTTCTTCGTACTCATTGTGGTCCCATCTCGATGACATCGTACCAAGATACGATGCTGACACGACATTATTGCGGGGGCTTCACGTAGTCGTGTTTCCTTTTTAAGTATATCGGAAATATTCGTGTTTACATCGTATTGTCTTCTTAAGGCTAAAAATGCGAGATTGCACCGATGATCACACGAAGAAAAGACGAAGACTACACGATTTGACAAGTGTATTCCTTACAAAGGACAAATTGACATACGATTTCAACACGAAAAACTTCGCAATGTCTTCGGGCAATTTTTTGGCATGCCAAACCTTTTGGAACCGCTCAAGAAGTTGCTGCCGGAGCCTGTATTATTCAGCCGGGATCATACGATGGCAAAATATGCCCTCACGAATTACACGACGTTATTATGATCAGATCCGAATTTGCACATTTTCTTATTCGTGTGTCAGCTGATGCCAAATTCGGGACAGTGTGACGCCTGCATAACAACATAAAGTGTGTAGAATTTTAAACGCAGCATATCTACTTAATTTGAATTCTAAACATGTTTATTTTTTATTTACAAAGAGACTGTGTAGCAATTATCAATATTGTCAAATATGAAATTTGAGCATAGTATATCTTTAATAGCTTATGGACTTTACATTGACACTGATGTTTATGTGTACGCTTATCAAAACATACGATCACAAGATGCATGGGTTCAAACCAAGTCAGAGTCCAGTCGTTGCTTCCTTGATCAAGAAACCTAACACTCATTGCACAGTACTTATTTGTTCCGGGACCGGTATCGAAAGTGTGTCTATAAGGTTATAGCTTGCTACACAATCAAACTAAAATAAAAACATAAGATAATACCAGCATTTTCAGTATTTTTATATATCTTTTTATTAATCATTGTTCTGAACAGCAATGATAAAATAGTCATTATCTTCGCTATCATTCTGATGATATAGACTGTATATCTTTTATATATATAAATAAAATTTGACGTGATTACAAATAAAATAACTTGGAAAA